TGTAATAAGAATAGTAAAAAAAAATAAAGTTATAGCTAAAAAAACTAGTTAAAAAAAGCTAAAGTAAAAGTAAAAAAAAAAAAGTTAAAAATAGTAAAAATAGTGTTTATACTTAAACTTACACTTACTTTCTTTACTTTATATAAAGTTTAAAGTTACTTTAAAGCCTTACTACTTATAACCTACTTAGTATAGAGTGTTAGAGAGATAAGAAAACATATAAATAGCTTAAAAAAACTACTACTTATGCTTATACTTAACTAACTAGAAAAGTAACTACTTTTAGTAAATAGTAACATATTAAAAGCATTATTCTTAAGCATTTTATACATAGAGATATCTTTAAAGCATTAATTTATTAGTACTTAAAAAAACTAGTAAAATAACTTACTTATATAAAACTATACTTTTTTATTTAGTACTTATAGCTCTAGACTAGAGTAGCTGTAGACTTAGTTTTAAAAGCTTTATAGTACTAACTTTAGAACTATTTTAGTAACTCTAAGCTATTTTAAATAAAATTATAATATTATAAGCTTACTAATAACTATGCTTTTAAAAGAAACTGCCTACATAAAAATAGTGCATTTATAAATGCCTTATAGTACTTATAAGTACTAAAACTAAAACTTTAAGACCTTTAAAAGCAAACCTTAACTAGATAGTAAAAAAAAAAAGTTATAATTTTAAGTTACTTTTATAGAAGTAAGCTTTTTAATTATAGACTATTTACTTTACTTAGCTTTTATAGGCTTATTAAGCTTAACCTAATAAGATAAAAACACTTTATATTAGTAGCTATAGCGCTAATAATAATATTCTAAATTACTTAATTATACTTCTTTAGACATAGTTTTCTTTTACTAAGGTTTTTTAAAGTTTAGTTACTAGTAATAAGTACTACCTAAGTATAACCTATACAGTCTCTACTGCAGGTCCGCCTAGGGCTAGTCTAAGTTACTATAATATCCTACCTATCTAATTACAAGATTAAGAACAACCTGCAGAAGAAGGGGGGCTATGTTACAGTTAACTTAGACATGCCTTAGACTCTCTCTAGAGAGCCCTTAGCTTAGCCTAGCATTAGGCACATAGCGTTCTGTCACGTGCCCTAGCACATATATATATCCTCTCACAAACCCCTAAGTCTTCTTAAGGATTCGTCTATTAATACTATCCTGTACCCCCTTCTGCGCTTCATGCTTTCTGCTTCACAGTGCTCTCACAGGCTGTAAGGCTAAGATGGCGCTTACGTGCAACAGGTATATATACTATCCTGTACGTAATAATTAACTGTTAGTTAATTATCCGCACCTTTTTAGTTGTATTAGCGCGCATATAAAAAAGTGTACTATTAGTAGCTACTATCTACTAGTTATTAATAGCTATAAAAGCTATAACTTACTTTATTTCTAGTAATACTATAAAGATAATAAAATTATTACTATTTATATACTTTTTTACTTATTACACTTTTTATAGCTACTTAATATAAGTTGTTTTACTTCTTTAAAAAAAGTGTATAGGCGCTAAGCTAAAATCCTTATACACAACTAAATTACTTATATTATAAAAATAAAGTTTTTACTATACTTTAAAGCAGCTTATAATGCTATAATTACTTTTAGTAATATCTAAAAAAAAGTTTTAAGGCGCTAAATTAGTTTCCTTTAACTTGTAATAAGTTATAATAGGCTTTAATGTAAAGTTGCGCACTTTATTACTACTACTACGTATATATAATAAGCTCTAGTAGTTATAAACTCTAAGTAATACTCTAAAAGTTAGGTTATAATTAATGCTTATAAAAATAAAAATTTAGAAGTATATAAATAGTTTACTAAATTTTATAACGTATTCCACCACCGAACCTGCTAAACCACTAAACCTGACAAAATCTCTTAGCATTGCAAACACCACGTACAAAACTCTAATTTTATTCACAACTAAATAGAGAACCTACGTACAACGTGCCTACATCTAATTCTAGTGCTTCTTCTTTATCCTTTTTACATGTACAAGCGTTGTGCCTAGTCTCTCTACAGTTCCTACAGCGCTGCAGAGCTAGTTAGGCTCTTTCTTAATTACTACTACTACAAGCCTTCTTTAACTGCTAAGCTACTATAAACGCCTTAGCAGCTACCTACGCTGCTGCAGTCTTATACTCTATTATGCTACCTTACTAGATCTGCTTTCTTTTACGCCTCTTGCGCTTAGTTATGTTTACTAATTACTCTTTAAGCTCTTATACACGCGCCTTTATAAGTATATTTCTATATAGCATTTTCTTAGCTTCTTTTACAAGCTGTAAAAAGCTTTCTTATGCTGTTATTAGTAATTATATAAAAGAATTATATATAAGCTTTAATTATAATCTAAATTTATATAAATTGCTTAGGGTCTTTAATTGCTATAGCGTTTCTAGTAGAGGTCCTAGTAGTAGGGTACACAGCTGCATGTTAAGACAATTAAGGACTACTTATGCGTTAATAAGAACTAGTCTAGATGCTTTAAAAGCCTTTTTATAGTTATTATACATAAAAACGTCTAAAAATGTGTTTTTAAAGGCTAAAAAAAAGCATTCTTTATTAATATGCTACACATGTTAGCGTGCTAAGTCTTATACACACTAAGAGTACTTAAGCTTTAATAGCAAGAAGCACACTACATTAAGTAGCTAGAGGATATGCAATAAATGCGTAAGTATATAGAGTGTAAAGATCTTTTATATAAAGCAATAATTTTTAAAATTCTAGTTTAGGTAGCTCTTATAGCTATCTAGTATAAGCAGCTTATATACTCCTACCTAACATGTTTTTATATGCTTATTAAAGTGCTTTAACTACTTAAGACTAAGTGTGTTATTTGTCTAGCTATTCTTAGAAACTAATAGCTTTTAATTATATAGTATTAATATCTTCTTATACTAGGCAGAGATGTAGACGCGTCCTTTGTAGATAATAAATAGCAGAGTAGTGTAGCTAGCAGCGCAAATGCTCTAGATTATAGTAACCTATTCTTAGTTACCTAGCTATGTAAGAATAAGCCTTATACATCTTTCTAAACTTATAATAACTTTTATAGTGCTAATTATGCCTATTTAGAAGCTAGTCTTATTAAAGTTATAGATATTATTATTATAAATACTATATTTTACTATTATGTTTTATATAAGCTTAAACTACTTTATAATTAACTTTAGGTCTTCTTAGAGTATTCTCTAGCAGTTCTTTACTTAATTAAACGCTATTTTAAGCTTCTTTATACAAGACATAAACTGTGTAAGCTAGTTTATCTCTACTAGTGTCCTACTACGCGCAGCTAATAGTCTGTTTACTATATCTACTACTTTACACAGCTAGGGCGCAAATCCTTGTAAATTAAGGTTAAAGATATATTATATAATTATTTACTTTTTAGTTGTAGTAAGTTTCTAGTAATTTAGTTGTATAGTAAGTTAAAATGTAATTCTGTTAAGCTAAGCAGCAAGCTACTAATAAGGCACGTTAAAAGCTACTGCAGCTTATTATACACATTTAAATTAGCGTAAGCAGTAGGCCTAGAGCGCAAGGATAATTCTGCCTTCTTGCTAAGTTAGTATAGTCTTGTGTTGTTTAGACATTGCGTCTTGTATGTGGTGTTTGCAATGCTAAGAGATTTTGTTGGGTTCAGTGGTTTAGCGGGTTTGGTGGTGGAATACGTTAGTTAAAGTGTTTAAAAAAGTTTTTAAAAAAGTAGTAATAATTATGCATAAGCTAGTGTTAGTATAATAAAAAATTACTAAGCTTTAAGTAGTGTAAAGATAGGATAGTAAGTAGCATAGATAGCACTAAGAGCAAGCTTTTAGAGAAAGATAGAAGTGTATTATAAGAGAGATAAATTGCTGCTAAGCCTTACTTGTTAGGATTCATGCTTATATACAAAGCACAGGTCATACAACCTCTAAACAGGTTAGGTGAGGCGATACTAGCCTGTTCTAGAACATCTAGCCTTACAAGTAGCTAATAAAGCTGCTACATAACATAAATTACTAAAGAAAAGTAAATTAAAGTAGAAAAAACTTTAATAATTTAAAAAAGCCTACACTTAACAGCTTTAAAGAAGTTTAAAGCGCGTAGTAATAAAAAGAAAGTAAAGAAGCAAGTGTAAGCTAAAGTAGGTAAGCTATTCTAAAGGCGCTGCAGCTAGTGTAATTAGACTAGGTATAACATGTAAACATATAAGCAAGAAGCAAAAGTAGTATCTAAATAATATTCTAGGCTGTACTGTACTATATAGTGCTAGAGCAGGTTGTTATAGGCTATAATAGAGTTTGTTAGGGTGGGGTCTTGGCAAAAGTAAGCGACTCAGGTGTGTGAGCAACTCGCCTGTGAAGTACGTTATCTTTTAAAGAGCCTTATACATAACTATAGCATGTTGCTTTAAAAGTGTTATGTTTTATTTAAAAGCCTAAAGTGTAAGCTGTATCTAACACCCTTTTAGCGCGCCTAAGTAGTGTTGTTAGGAATGCATTAGTGTAGGAAGGGTGGCTTAGTAGGGTCTTAGCAAAAGTTAGCAACACAGGTGTGTGAGCAACTCGCCTGTGGTGTACGTTAGTCTTAGCAAAAGTAAGCAACTTAGGTGTGGAGCAACTCGCCCGTGGTGTACGTTACACGTTGCAGAATCTCTGCTGAGCCTCTCGGCCTTTTGTGATGAAACACACTAGGGACTTATTTGAAGTACCTTGGGGCTGTAGCATCTCTGCTGTGCCGTTTGAAAACTCGTGGGTGGAAGGCAACACGGGCTTACCAACGGTTGGATGGTGTGCCTCTGTGCCTGTGCCTCTGTGCCGGTGTCTCTGTGCCTCTGTGTCTCTGTGCCTCTGTGCCTCTGTGCCTCTGTGCCTCCTTGCCTCTTACGTGGCACTAAGTTAGTTATTATGAATATTAACGGCCCATAATTGATAAGACCGTCGTGGCACCCCCCTGGAAGGTTATTCTGATCTGGACCAGTCGATTGACATGGATGTCGACTGCATGCCTGCAACCAGTGATACCAAGGAGGCGGCAAAATCACCTGACGAGTGGAAGCACATTGCAGATTCGACGCAGCGCAAGAAGGTGCAGAACAGGAATGCGCAGAGAATATACCGTAAGTCAGATCCGAAGCTGCCTCGTCTTGACATTGGACTGGCACTGAAGGCGTGGCAGGACACAAGCTCAAGAGGCGCATCGCCGAATTGGAGCGAATCAACAGCAGGCTTGTGTCGCGCCAGACCACGTCCAGCCCGAGCCCTGTACCTGGGCCTGCCCTCACTGCAGCCTCGGGCTCGGGCTCGAGCTCGTCATGCGAACCCGACGACAACAACAACAACAACAACAACAACAACAACAACAACAACAACAACAACAACATCAACAATTACAACCTTTTCTCTCCCCCGTCGCCTCAGCAGACTGCTCCGTCTTCACTCAGCAACACCGCAACCACCGAGGACTGTACCTACTCCCCCCAAGCACTATGGCCCGACGATTCCATGGCCGCCTTGGACCAGCTGGCCGACGTGCACTGCCTGCTCAACCCCTCGACCCTACTCCCGGACAGCGCCATTCCCAGCCTCATGCTCGATTTCCCCGTTGAGCAGCCCGCGGCCTCTCCATACGACCTCTTCTCCACACAGCCATGCGCACCCTCTTCTCCCTCATATCCAGCGACGACGGCGGCGGCAGCGCCAACCGTGTCCCTCGACGACGGCCGAACCACGCTGCACCACGCCATAGAGCAGGACCGCCTATCAATGGTATCGATGCTGTTGGCCCAGCGCGCCGACGTGTTCGCCCAAAACGTGTGCGGTGCTGCCCATGGCAATGCGGCTGCCACCCGCCTGGTGCCCGCCGCGGCGACGGAACAGGCCCACGCAGACGACGAAGCGGGTGCGCAGACGCAGAAGATGAGGCCAGGCGTTGCCGTGGTGGGCGATGCAGGCGGCGCCACGCCACTACACTTGGCCGCGGCCGGCGGGCACGAAGGCGCCGTCGCTGTGCTGTTGGGCCTGCAGCACGCAGCCTCATCGTCACCGTCATGGTCGTCGTTCCCCTTTCCTGGCGCCGAGCACAAGGCCACGAGCGCTGTGGACATGCAGACGCCGCTCAGCGACCCCAACGCTGTCGACGCTAGCCGTCAGACACCACTGCATCTGGCCGCGGCGGCAGGCAGCGAGCCCGTTGTACAGCTGCTGTTAGATGCAGGTGCGGACATGCGATTCAAATCCGCCAACGGGTGGACGGCGCTGCATGTAGCCGGGTGGGCGGGACATGACGGCGTTGTCGCGCTGCTGTTGCGGCGCGGCGCAGATGTCGACTGCCGGGTCAAGAAGTGACTATGAGGAAAATCTAATGAAGCGTCGTTTCTGTATTGGTTGCCTTGCTCAAATACATTATTACGTCAGGTTGTACATGAGAGTTAGACCTTATTGAGCGTGCGATTTAGAACTTAATATACCCTTTTTATTTGTCGTATTCGTTTCCAATCAGGCAAGGCCCTTCGTGCTTCCATTCAGAAAAGGCCGTTCGTTAAGACGGTTTTTCTACTTATATGGACTAAACAGAGGCTAAGATGAAACCCTGTCTCTCGCCAACAGTCCAAACTAGCAAAGTTGCCTGGTACCTACTGTGTTCCTGATTACATACCCAGCTGTATACGGGATTGAGAACGTTACTACTAGACCTATATCAACACTGTTGATATCGAATAGTCGCCGTGTGTATGTACATGTCTACACTACGCCTTGATGATCCTTCGATCAGTTGCCATCGAACATGAAAAAGTACAACATCTCTATTCTACATCGTCTACTTCGAGCATAAACTTCGACTGGGGACGTAGTGGTTTTGGACGTGTAGCATTGTAGCATAAATAAGCATGGTAATGATACACATAAATTCCATGGACATCATGACGAAAAGACATGATACATAGTTAAAGTAGGATACATGATGCTATCTATCAAACGCCCCGCGCCTATGTATGCAAGGAATGACAAAGACTACAAGATTAACACACGAAAGTCTTACCTACCAGAAGACCAAAGCAAAAGAAAGAAAAATCTATACAACGCCAGCATCCCCACCAATCACCGGCCGCTCCGCCCCAACCCCAGGCTTCCACGCTTCCAACTCGTCCCAGCGCTCCAATATCCCCTCCATGACCCCCGACCCCGTCAGCTTCCACACATCCTCCAAGTAGCTGCGCGACACCTCAAACGGGCGCGCCGTCAAATTTGGCACGTAGCGCCCGCGTAGCTTCTCCACGTCGACTGCTCCGCGCCGGATGGAGCGCGAGAGGTGGTGCCGGAAGGGCGCGACGCCTGCGCGCAGGTATGAGCTGTGGAAGGGTACGTCGATACCTGGGAGCGGGATTGTGGCTTTTCCGCGCTCGAGGGGCGAGGTTGTTGGGGTGCTCTGCTGCTGTTGCTGGGAAAGGGCTGTGTCGATGACATGGTGGAAGAATGGCTGGTCTTGTTGCTGCTGGGCGAGGGTGCGAAGGCGGATGGAGCGGTCGGCGTGTGCTGAGTCGAGAATATCGCCTAGGCACTTGAGAGCGCGGTGCTGTGCAACAAAGTATCAGTCAGTGTGTCAGGACTCGGGTTTTGAGGCCGAACTTACCTGGCCAGCGCAGATGTATTGTTGACCTTCGACGTTATGATTCACTACTTCAAGCAATAGTGACGTGGCCGCCGCAATCTCTTGCACAAGAAGATTGAGCGTAGTGCCGTCGAAATCTGGCACACGGCTTGGATTCACCGCAACCATGGCGAAGTCTGAGCGTCCTGCTTTGTCTCGTTTGATACCGTACTGCATCGTGAGCCCACGGTAGAAGACGACCGACATCAATTCCTCGATGGCAGCGATGTCGACTACGGCGCTCAGTGCCGAATACTCGCCAAGTGAATGGCCGGCGAAATAGCTTTCGTCAGAGACTACGCCGCGGGCTTGCATGTCTCGGAAAGTAGCAATCTCCATCAGCGTCAGTGCCGGTTGCGTGAATTGCGTTGCAGAAAGGAGACCCCCTGGGCTCGAGAAGGTGAGGGAAGTCGAGGTCTCGTCAAGATCCGGGAACACCCGTCGCTTTGAAGACGTGCCATCAGGGGCAATGTCCAGGAAAGCAAGGTCCATATACTGCTGACGCACCTTCCGACCATGCTGGCCACCGAATCGAATAATGTGCTCCTTCGGATTATTCTTGACGATATCTGTAATCAGAAAGCCGTACTGGTTCCAAAAATGCTGGTCCGCTCGATCCCATACTTCGCGGGCTGCCTCGCTCGTGGCGTAGAGATCCATGCCCATGCCGACACGTTGGCTGCCTTGCCCTGTAAAGACAAATGCCGTCTTTTCAACTTCGACCTCTGCTTCGCCGGTGAGCACTGCCTCATCTGACTCCTCCTTCACCGCTTTGATCTTAATAATCTTGCGGCCGCGTTTCATGCCAACCTGTTCGCAGAGAACCTTGATCTTATCCCCCGGAAGAACCATTCCAAGAAATGAGCAGTGGAACGACTTGAACCTCGAATAGTCCGAAAAGCACAAATGACGCTCAACCAGAAGCCGGACACGTGCACTTGTTTGCATGCCGTGGGTAATGGTGCCCGGCAAACCAAGATACTGTGAGAGAGCTGGTGACAGATGGATGGGATTAAGGTCGCCGGATGCTACTGCATAGTCTCTGTTGGACGTCGGAACTTGAAGCATCAGTTCCTGGAGAGGAATCGGGTTGGCAAATGTGACTGGAGACTGTTCAAGTTGGCCGTGACGCTTGAGGTAGCTTAGTATGGGATTTCCCTTGGCCAATGCTCCTACGTGACGAACGGTTGCAACTTGAACACCTTCCCCAAGCGATATTAGGGCTTCCACATGTCCGGAAACGCTGATCTCGTCTGAAAGCTGATGTGTTTGCAGCTTGAAGATCAGCTTCGCGCCCACGTGTAGCATTTCAACGCAGGACTCGTCCAATTGTAACCAGTCTTTTGCAAGAAGCACTTGGAGTTGGCTCGCTGATTTGATCTGCAACTCAACAGGGGCGGCCTCTGCAATCCGGAAGCAGCATGCGTGGTCAGTATAGTTTCCACGGATAAGAAATTGGCTGCGGATCTCCATGACGATTTGACCTTCACGCAGAATGTGTGCCGTCACCTCAACCATCTTCCCAGATGCTTGTATGACGACTGCTGTGACGCGTGACCTTGTTTCCACAACGTCACCTTCTGCCAAAGGTCGGACTCCTGGAGTGACATGGAAGCCGTTAGAAAGGTGTACGAGGTTGAGCAAATCGCCAGCCAGGTCATGCGCGAGGAGAGGCTCAACAAGTGGTTTCCAGGCAGCTACCATGGCGTAATCCATCGGGGCTTGCAGATGGTCGCCCAAACGCATTTCAGGGCATTCCAAGGCCTGGTGGAACTGCTTCAAACTCTCGGAGGTGATTTTTTCTGGTGCTTGAAAAAGCTCGTCGCGAATGGAGTGTTTCTCCGTTGATCTTGTTCCGAGCCAAACCTGGCGGTAAAAATCCCGAATGCGTTCATTGCGGCCGTCCATTATCTCGTGTATCGGAGCGTAACCAGTTTCTGGGATGTAGCGAAATTTGAGTAAGAGTTCCGCGCTAACCTTGTCCGCCGAGAGGTTCCCAAGCATACGAAGTTCAATTATGTTGTCAGCAAAGAGCTCGACCTGAACATTCTGAACCGAATCATCCTGCACCCTGAAAAGGTGAACACGATTCAGATCGGCATCAGAAAACACTGTTCGCCCACCCTTGAGTATTCGTCGGATTGGGTTCTCGACCACGTGGCTGCCTTGCAGAAGCACGTTGCTGGTGAAGAAGGCTTGCCGCCAATCACCCAAGTTGCCAATGATTCCAGCTACTCGTCGTTCCAGGTAGTGCTTCTCAGGAAGGCCGAAGCACTCGACAAACGGCACATACTCTTGGATTTCGAGCAGCCTTTCAATGTAGCTATGATTAAGATTATCCAAGATATCTTTGATGGGCTCGTCAACCTTAGTTGAGTGGCGGACCGCGACGGGACCTTGTAGAATACAGACACGGCGCACGTCTTGATCGACGACAGATTCCAGATTCTCTGATTGCCAAAGGGAGTCCTTCTTGAACCATGTCTCAAAATGCTCATCCAGGACAGGGACGAATGGAACAGGCTTCTGCCCTTTCCGTCGGCACAAGGCAAGAAAGAACTGAACGTCTTGGTAACTCATGAGATGTGCGTTCATTGAGGGGAACTTAGCAAATAAACATTCTATGCAAGCCTCTGGATCATCTAGGTCGGCATGGCTTGGAATCGTAGGCGCCTGGGGGGTATGCGTAACGAAACGAGATGCAACGTGGTAAATGAAGTCGTGCACTAACGTTCGAAAAGACTCATCGAGCCATCCTTGTCGATGACGGACGTAGGTCAATGCAACTAACCTCAGAATAACTTCACCGTAGGTCATCTCATCAACGCCTACCGCTGTCCCCTTTGTTTTGCTCCATCCAAACCAGACTTTGTGAGAGTCGGCATTCAAACGGCTGATGATGTAATTCCGTTTCTCCTTGAGCACCTGCATCCTCTTGGACTTTTCCGAGATGTTAAAGACTGTCTTGTCCAGTTCAGCCCAAAGAAGCACACCATCAGTTGCCAGCTTGTGGATGGGTTCGCCCATCTCAGAGACGACAGTAATAACTCCGCCAGCAGGACCGTCGTAGGTCCTCGTCCACTCGGAGTCATCCACGCCCTGAGCCGCAACAATGGCATGTTTGACAGCTGGACTGGTTTGAGTCTCCTTCGCGACCATCACTCGGCTGCCGAGTAAAACACCATCGAAGGGCATCAAGGGAAGGTGTAACTTGCGCGACCATTCGCCGGTGAGGTAAGGGAAAGAACTGTCGACATCTCCCATGCCGCTGCCAGCAATGAGCACGATGTTTTTACATCTACGGATGGCGCCGTACATGCGCTTGATGGGCTCGTGAAAATCCTCGAATGAATGATGGCCACCCCCTCGTCCACCTGTCCATTGGAGAATGATGGGAAAGTGGGGGTTTGCTTTGGCGATTTCCAGGACCTTCTGTATGGCATTGAGGTTGCCAGGCTTGAAACTGATGTGTTTGAGACCAGGAAATGTTTGGATATAGCCATTCGCCACATCCAACGATGCCACGCCGGCGCCAAAGGTCAAGCCATCAATGGGAAGGCCCTCTTCGGAACTCAAGCGTTGGAGGAGGGGAATCTGCCAGCGCAGCGCCGCGGGGTTTGCGTAGATCAAGTTGCAGGTAATACCACGTCCTGAGGAGACCTTATCAGTCACCTTTCGAAGTGCGGCTTCAAGTGAAGTGGGATCATGATAACCACCAAGAGCGAATTCGATGTGGTACCCAGCATTCATCGTTGCCGCCACAAAGTCTACACTGCAGGTCGTGGGAGTCATTCCAGCGACCATGACAGGAGGCAGACCCAGCAGCCTGCTCATCTTGGTACTCACCATGGTGCGAGCACCCGCTGTGCGTATTATGCGAGGAGCGTACTGCTGTGCCCAAGAAGGCTCAACCACCAGATGTCTCTGTACAATTTCGGCTGTTCCTCCAAAGTTGAAACTCCGGCCGTTCAGCTCTGTGGCAAGAATTATACGGACTCCTTTGCCGTGGCTGATGGCATGCACAAGGCCGCCGGCGCCACTAGCGCCACGTCCAGGGCCGAAATCGAGCACATGGGTGGGGTTCGGAATGGAGCAGACAGGGGACCAATGTAGTGGTTCCTCGGTGACTAATCGAACGAGCTCGGGTACTATGTTCTGGCAACCGCGACTGCGCAGGTCTTCAGCTTCTGGAGTAGTTGTGTAAACGGCGCAGCCAAGGTCAGAACCACGTATCTCGACGCCCATCTCTTGTGCATCCCGGAGGATGATTGGGGTTGCTACAGCCAGGTAGCTGCTGTGAAAAGGAGCAGACACAGGAAGAAAGGTATTTGCGATTCGCGCTTTTCGTTTGTTGAATGGAACTCGGGCTTGATCGTCACCGGGCGAAGCTTTGAGAGGGCGCAAACAAACATTCAAGACATGCAGCGACATGGGAGGCCCGACCACGACAACATTTGTAGGACCATTGTGGAGGCCAATCTCAATGGCCTCGTGCGAAGGCAGTTGTGCATTCACTCGGGCCACTAGTGCTTCGATTTTGGAGAGCGGCAGATGGCGTACGCTCAGCATTGGGCTCGGGGATCCTTCTCCGTGGTCTTTAGCATCCTTCAGCAAGGTTGGAGGTAGGGAGACGAGCGAAAAGGCTTGTTGACAGCGCACACCCAAAGAGAGTAAAAGCGACAGCGCATTGGTGGAAAGGGAATGGAACGAGTCCCAATCTGAGGATGCAGCGACGAATGCGGCCACTACAAGACCTTGTGAATGGCCAGAGGCAGCAGAGAAAATGTTGATAAGCTGGGAAGGTTCTAATCCCGTTATACGGGAGACTGCATAGAAACAGGTGAGCTGCAAGAGGCCGACGAGCGGGAAGCTCACTGGGGCAGAGATGAGATAGGAAGCGTCGGGTCGTGCCTCAGGGTCGGACTGGGTGATCCAACGCAAAATATCGAGGCCATTGGGATAATAGGTGCGGAACTCATCCCGGTTGGCCAGATTCTGGAGATGGGCTGTGGCGCGCCAGAGCAGCGGGGCGACCAGCGGCTGATAGAGCTGATGTAGCGTCTGGAGAGTGTCCAGACAGGTATCATGGCCCTGGCCGCCGAAGATGGCCAATATTCGTGCCCTGCCTTGACCGGCAGCGTCCAATAGCGCCGAGCTCGGTGAAGCGCGATGAGGCCACGGTGAGTCTAGGACATGGGAAACGCGCATCATGGTGGAGACGAGCGTGGTCTTGTCAGCAGGCTCCCCGGGCAAGGCTGCAACAACGGAGAGCACATGCTCGCCGCCGCCGCAGAAGTCGCGTTCGAAGGCAGACTGCACGGCAGCGAGAAGTGCAACGAGGGCATCTCGGTCGTCACAGTCGCTGTCGTATCCGCAATCCAGGGCGTCGATTCGGCCGAGGAGAAAAGCGGCGAATTGAACCAGCAGCGTTGCCGCGTCGGCGTCGGCGGGCGCATCGGAGCGGGCGAGAAAGTCGAGGCGGAGAGTCTTGGCGAGGCGGCGGAGTGCTGGCGAGAGGTGGAGCGGCAGGCGAAGCGGAAGGCACGTGACCTTGGGTGGTGCATATTCGAGCACCGATGCACTACTGCACACGGTGCCAGCAGTGGAGCTGGACTGGTCCGAGTCGTCAGTACTACTGGAGTTGTCTGAACTAGAGGAATTCATCGAACGCATGGCATGTAGAAAGTGCATGCTGGCTTGGGCGGCTGCGCTCATGGGCGGGCGGCTCTAATGAGCGGAGCGGGGTAGAGGCGGAGGCTAATTATAGCACCTGTTCTGATCCCTTCTTACCTCACTGCCCGTGCCTTTCTCGCCCATCCTCTCTTACGTCACCCAGCCACCGTACATCTCTGAGGTCTTCTTACTACCGACACGCTGCCCGCTATGCCCACAATGCCGGTCGGCGCCTGGTACACAGTCGCACGTACAGCCTGCGATATCTGGCCCCCCAATGCAGCTTCCATATCTGCCCGCCATGCCCTTCTCACCATCGTGCCCTAACAAGTCACTGCCCTCGTGCCCTCACTAGCTACTACTTTCGTGCCCTACTCCTTGATATACGTCAAAGCTGCCAAGTTGTCCTTGCTCACCCTTGAATCCCCTTGCAACGTACTTTGTTACCCTTTCCCTCATCTTTCCGACAACACATAATCACTACGGTAAGAACAACCCACTGGAACAGCTAACTATGAATTCTGCAGCAGCTTGTTACTTTCCCACCCTGAGCACCACGCTCGACGTTCACGACGAGATGCAAACCTACCTCGCCCCCGTGCATCTCGATCTCGTCCGCCTCCAAGACTTCTGCAGCACGAAAGGCGTGCCTGCTGCCCATGTCGTATCTGCGGCCTGGCTTTTGGTTCTTCGTCTTTACACCGGCTGTGAAACGCCGAGTACTGGCTTTGTCCCGACTGAAGGCGCCCATTTGCAGTGCTGCTCCGTCGATTTTGAAGACGGGTCACTCCGCCTGCATCACATCATTGACAGCCTGCGCTTCCATGCACTCGATAACGCACCAGAAGCCTTCAACACTGCCGTCGCCGCCTCGGCAACGAAACCTAATGTACGACTCTACTTCTGTCTCTGGTTTTCGCTCCATTGACCATTTCTCTAGTTTGACATCACTGTGACCACCACACCTCAAATATCTATAGCCTACCACATAGGCAAGATATCACCATCCCACGCCGCTGGCATCGCCAGTAGCCTTTCATGTGCTATCAAGATGCTGCTTGCCACTTCTGAGCGTGAAACCTCAAGTGTCGATCAACTGGATCTTCTCAGCCCTGCGCAACGCGCGCAAATTTTCCACCGAAACGCACTGGTGCCGACTGCTGTCCCTTCCACTGCTCACACTCTCATTTCTCAACAAGCAGACTCCCGCGCCCATGCTCCTGCGGTGGACGCATGGGATGCATCTTTGACTTACGCCGAACTGGATATCTTCTCCAACCGGTTAGCCCATGACCTTACCCGACGTGGGCTCGGCCCCGAGGATTTTGTTGCTCTCTGCTTTGATAAGTCGGCATGGACTGTCGTGGCCATGCTGGCTGTCATGAAAGCTGGGGCAGCAATGGTCTTCTTGGACCCCTCCCATCCGCAAGCACAGCGCGACAGTATGTTGGCGCAAACCCATACTCGCGTCGTCTTGGTAGCCTCAACCTACGAGGATCAATGGCTCGGAACACCGCTTGCTGTGCTGCCCGTGTCACGCAGCACTCTTGAGGCACTACCAGAGCAGTCCCTCGCGCCTGAGACGGATGTACGGCCGGAAAACGCTCTTTACACCATCTTCACCTCTGGATCCACAGGAACACCCAAAGGGGTTGTAGTCACGCATTCTTCGTTCCTTTCCGGTGTAATCCATCAGGCCAAACATGGCGCCATGATCACTCACCATTCACGTGTCCTCCAAATGGCATCGTACATATTCGACGTGTCCATCCTGGAGATTTTGAGTGCACTGGTCCTCGGCGCATGTGTGTGCATCCCGTCTTCGCCCTCGCTGAGCAGCGCGGGCGGTATCGCCGTAGCCGTGCAGCAGTACCAAGCAACATGGATGTTTCTGACTCCTTCGCTTGCTAAGGTCGTAGATCCAGCCAGTGTCCCTACACTTCAGATACTCGTTCTCGGCGGCGAGGCTCCGTCAAGAGACGACATTGAAAAGTGGTCAGACTGCGTGCAACTCGCAAACGGCTACGGTCCCTCCGAATGCTCCATTGCAGCCACTTGCAGCCCCCAGCTTCATAGAAATTCCGATCCGGCAAATATCGGACATTCCATCGGTAGCGTGGCTTGGGTAACGAAGCCCGAAAACCACAACATCCTAGTTCCTGATGGCGTTGCCGGTGAGTTACTCATCGAAGGCCCGATCCTGGCGCGCGGGTACCTGGGCGACGAGGTCAAGACAGCCGCCGCCTTTATTGAAGACCCGGACTTTCTACCTGTGGGTGGGAAGAGGAGGATGTATAAGACCGGCGATCTCGTTCGTGCAAACCCGGACGGCTCTTTGACTTTCGTGGGTCGCAAGGATACCCAGGCCAAAGTCCGTGGTCAACGCATTGAGCTTGGTGCCATTGAGCATGTTTTACTAAGCCACGAAACAGTGAAGCATGCTATTGCCCTGCTTCCAGCATCAGGGCGTTTCCAAAAACGCCTGGTAGCCATTGTGGCGCGAGAAAGTGGTGGAGAACTCCACTTATCCAAAGGTCCAGGTACGCAGTTGCTGATCACGAAACTCAAGGCTCACCTGGCCGCGACTCTGCCCAGCTCTATGATTCCCACGGGATGGCTCTTGGTGGACGGAATTCCTCTTCTCAGCTCGGGAAAGCTGAGCCGTGCTCATGTCTCCAGGTGGGTATATGAAATGGACGAAGATACCTACCTGGATGCAATAGGCCAGGAAGATGCCACCATAGCCGAAGATGGTGATAGCCAGAATGAAGGTGTAGGGAGCGACCTCTCCAAATGTGTGGCTGACATTCTGAATTTGCCTGCGGACATAGTCAAGACACGCCGCAGCTTCTTAAGCTTGGGAGGAGATTCGATCACTGCCTTACAGGTTGTCTCTCGTTGCAAGGGTCAAGGGTTTCATATTGCCTTGAAGGACCTCCTCAGCGCAAAGACACTTGCCCAGCTTGCATCCTGCGCGCAACCCATAGCACCCACATCGGACCAGAAACAGAGCGATCTGGACACGCAGTCCCCTTTCCGGGCGTGGAACCAGCGTCGCATGGAGTGTGAGGAACCTTTGCCCGTCCCAGCGGAGCTCGAGACACTGATCAACGAGACACTACCAAATGCCGGGTTGAGTGCGCTGGATAACATTGAAGATGTTTATCCAACTTCTGCGATGCAGCAAGGCATCCTAATCGCATGCAGCAAGTTTTCAAAAGCGTACCAGTCCCATGTCATTCTCAAAATTCGAGCTTCTCCGCGTATCAATATTGATCGTCTTTTGGATGCCTGGCAGCGGGTCATGACCATCCATCCTGCTCTTCGAACGACATTCATTCAGAGCTCGTCCAGCCAGCGCGTATATGATCAGGTCGTCCTCAGGCATACCCAGGTTGATGCAATCCGTGTACAGCGCCATTTCGATGAGCACCGGCCGATGGCATTCACGAACGGTGCAGTGCCACTACGGTTTAGTGTTGCCGAAACGGAGGAACCCAGCTCCGTCCTGGTCAAATTGGAAGTCAACCATGCTTTGGTCGATGGTGTGACCATGCCTGTCATTGCCAGCGACCTCTGTGCGGCTTATCGCGACGCCACCTTCTCTCGCATCGCCATGCCGTATGAACGATATGTCTCTTGGCTCTCAATGCAGAATACCCACGAACATCTCAACTATTGGAAAGGTTACTTAAAGAGCCAGGATCCGTCATTATTTCCGCATCTAAACGATGGAATTTTCGCGACCGAAAACGAGTTCCGTTCGGTCGAGCTGACGCTGGATCAGGCTACAGTTGCTCAGATGCGGGCCTCTGCAGCTTGCCAGGGCTTGACTGTGGCGAATGTCTTCCTGACGGCATGGGCCTTGGTCTTACGCGCCTATACAGGGTCAGATCGTGTCTGCTTCGGATATGCTTCCTCCGGCCGCAACATCTCTCTCGATGGCATTGAGGGTGCTGTGGGAGCATTTGTAAATATGCTCGTCTGCAGTGTACGTCTGGAACCGGACACTTCACTGGAAGACCTTATGCAAACTGTGCAGAACGATTTGATAGACAGCTTTTCTCACCAACATTGCAGCCAGGCTGAGATTCAGCAGGCTATCGGTTTGCCGTCGGATCAAACCCTGTTCAATACTATCGTTTCTTTTGAAGCTATGCAAAATCAACTAGATGCGGGCTTGGAACTGACCAAGGTTTCGGAACATAATCCCACCGAGGTATGCGACACCCAGTAATTGACCTATGATGATACTTACTTAGTTATAGTATGCACTTACAGTCAATATCACACCCTCGGCCAAAGAAATAACGGTCAAATTGGGCTACTGCACACCCATGCACTCCGATGCCCAGGCCATCAATATCGTCGAGACTTTCAAGCAGGCGCTTAACCAGGTTACCAGTCCATCTGGTCGCAAAGTGGAGGCTACGGATTTATTCAGCGACCATCACCACCGCCAAGTATACAGCTGGAACAACAACGAACTCACGACCGAAGAAACTTGCCTCCACAATCTGTTCGAATCGCAGGCGGCTTCTCGACCCGATGCGCCTGCCGTTTGTGGACATGACACATCCTTCTCGTATGCCCTTCTAAATGATCTTTCGACCAAACTCGCCTTCCATTTAGCGGGACAGTGTAACGTTGGTCCCGAGGTTCTTGTTCCTTTCTGCTTCGAGAAGTCAGCTTGGGCCATTGTGGCAATGCTGGGAATACTCAAGGCCGGAGGCGTTTGTGTTGCCCTGAACAAGTCGCATCCCGACGAGTGGCTCAAGGCTATCCTGGAGAACACTTCGGCTACCACTGTGCTCACTAGCAGTGAACAGGCGGCTCGATTTGCCAGCCTTGTCCCTAACATTGTCGAGGTATCATCTGCTTCACTATCGCAGTTTCCGCAAATGGAACCTTCGAGCATGGACTGCCTTCAGCGAGCTCGACCTAGCGACGCGGGCTTCGTTGTCTTCACTAGTGGCTCAACCGGCAAACCCAAGGGTATAGTGCTTTCTCACGCTGCGCTCTGTACCTCAGCACGCGACCATGGCACTGTTATGCGTATCCAATCATCATCGCGTGTCTTGCAATTTGCTGCTTACACCTTTGATGTTAGCATTGGGGAAATCTTTACTACCCTGACTCGAGGCGGATGCGTGTGCGTGCCATCTGATCAAGATCGAATGTATGACTTGGCCCGTGTGATGAGTGATATGAAGGTCGACTGGGCATATCTAACACCTACGGTCGCGACATTGATTCAGCCCGACCAAGTCAGTCTCAAAACTCTTTGCCTCGGAGGTGAAGCCGTTAAACAAGAGAATATCGCAACCTGGGCTGAGCACACCGATCTAATCAACATCTATGGGCCAGCAGAAACCACTATTTGGTCTACAGCACTCACGGGCCTTACCCCCGCAACATCCGCCTCTAATATTGGCCGTACTACCGGCCCTGGTGCAGCCATGTGGATAGTCGATGCCGATAACTACAACTCTCTTGTTCCCATCGGATGCGTGGGTGAACTCCTCATCGAGGGCCCCATCCTCGCACGCGGCTACCTGAACGACCCAATTCGCACGGCCGAGTCATTCATTGCCAACCCATCCTGGGCTACGGGCCTGGAGCGCCGCTTCTATCGGACTCGCGACCTTGCCCGATATAATTCTGATGGGACCATCGAGTTCATCGGCCGCAAGGACACCCAAGTGAAGCTGCACGGTCAACGCATCGAGCTAAGTCACATTGAAAGCGTCATGAAACCCGAAATTCAGCAGTGGGGTGCATGTGACGCAGTTGTTGAAGTGGCCAAGGCTGGTCAAGACGTCACGCTGGTGGCATTCTTCACCACAGACGCCGCCAACAGCGATGAATGCACGCTTCTAGAAGGTCTACCGGACAAAGTCCAGGAGATGCTGCCTCATGTTCAAAGCAAGATTGCGGAAAAGCTGCCTTTATACATGGTTCCAGCCATTTATCTGCACGTCAGTAAATTGCCAACCACTGTCTCGGGAAAACTTGACCGCAGATCGCTGAGACAGATGGTCTCTCAGCTACCATCCGTATCTGTAGCCAAGTTGAGTCATTCGTATGGGCCCAAGCGTTCGCCTTGCACAGAGACAGAGAAGAGACTAGCCATGCTTTGGAGCCGTGTTCTGGGTATCGAGAATGGCCTCATTGGAGCGGACGACAGTTTCTTCAGACTTGGCGGAGATTCTGTTGCAGCCATGAGGCTTGTGGCCATGGCTCGCTCTGAGTTCGGAATAGTGCTAAATGTCGCCGATATCTTTGGGCACCCTACAATTCATGAGATGGCGTCCACCCATAGGACGGTTCAGGGCGCTCAAAATACCGTTGAGGCCATACAGCCATTCGCGCTCCTGGATCAGGTCACGGGCAGTCTTAACGATCTCCGACGCGAATTAGCCAGTCAGTGCAGCATCGATATCGGCCGCTTACAGGATGCGTATCCATGCACAGCTCTTCAAGAGGGTCTCTTAGCACTGTCCTCGAAACAGTCCAGCGCCTATGTCGCTCAGAATGTTTTCATAATGCCCACGTCCCTCGACAGATCTAAGTTCCGAGCTGCATGGGAAGCTGTTGTCCACGCTGTTGACATCCTGCGCACTCGGATTGTATATATCGAAAGACTTGGTACACTACAAACCGTGATAGACCAAGGCATCGAGTGGGAGGTTGCAGACTCGCTGCAGGCCTACCTTACCACTGACCGTTGTCGGCCTATGCGCTACGGGAGTCCTCTTGCTCGGTATGCTATTATCGACGATCAATACTTTGTCTGGACCGCGCATCACGCTCTCTACGACGGCGTGTCCATTCAGGCTATTCAAGACAAAGTCGCGCTCGCTTATCAGGGGATGACGATTCCAGAGAGGTCTCCGTTCAGCGCTTTCATCAAATACATCAAAGATACGTCTGTTAGCGACCAAGAAACATATTGGACCACCAACCTTGAGGGTACTCAGGCGCCAGTGTTCCCTTCAATTACCACCGAATCGGCTGCCAATGGACGTTTGAAGCAATCTCTCACGCACTTTGTCTCGTTCTCGGCACAGACTCTGGCCGCCTCTGAGATAACCGTTTCGACTCTTCTCCGCGCTGCTTGGGCTATAGTTGTTGCTCGTCAATCCGAGTCCGATGAGGCCGTGTTTGGTGTGACACTCAGCGGGCGCAATGCTCCCATCCAGGGTATCGAGGAACTAATTGGGCCTATGATCACTACAGTACCGCTTCGAATTCAATTAAGGAAACCTGGTATCACAGTAGGAGATCTCCTCCGTGATATTCAAGCGCAGGCAGCCGGCATGATTCCGTACGAGCAGACGGGTCTGCAGTCTATCAAACACCTCAGTCAGTCGGCCCAGAATGCCTGCGATTTCCGCACTCTTCTGGTCGTGCAACCTCGTGAGACTCCGGAAAGCGATACTCTAGGATTGCAGCTCGAATCTATGGGATCTCATGACTTTCACAGCTACCCCATCGTTGTGGAATGCAATATTGAGGGGAGCAGTATGGTCGAGGTGCATGTGGATTTCGATGCGAATATCATCTCGGCAGACCAGTTGGAGAGAGTCATCAACCAGTTTGGCCATGTTGCGCACCAGTTGGCGGAGCATGCTCACGACTTCAGCACTGATCTGCGCCTTGTCAACCTCCTCAGCGACCGTGACTGGAACACGATAATGAATTGGAACAGCATCACACCACAACCAGTCGAAGCTTGCTTGCATGAGCTGATTGAACATCAAGTCGCGGCAGCTCCGAACGCGCCTGCAATCCAGGGACCTGATGCCAATTTCACGTTCATGGAACTTGAGCGTCTATCGAGTAATTTGGCACGATACCTCGTCGATGTTGGTGGGATTGGTCCTGGGACATTCGTACCGTTCTGCTTCAACAAATCTGCCTTCACAATTGTGGCTATGTATTCCATTTTGAAAGCAGGTGGCGCCTGCGTTGCACTCAATCCAGACCACCCGATGGAGAGACTCCAGAGTATCATCCGCGAAGTCTCGCCACCCCTTATTCTTGTTGGTGCCGCACAACGCCAGATGTTTGAGAACGCTATTTGCGTCGATATGGACTTTACGGACAACCTACCCAATCTTGAACTCCATAGTAACGCTCGCGAAGTTTCTTCGCTTGATCCTGGCTTTGTTGTGTTTACTTCAGGGTCCACAGGTAAACAGAAAGGAATCGTTCTGGATCATCAGTCTCTATGTACCAGCATCAAGGCCCATGGCAAGTTTCTCCGCCTTGGTTCCAGTTCGCGCGTACTTCAATTTTGCGCATATACTTTCGACGTCAGCATTGCCGAGATCTTCACAACACTTGTTCACGGCGGCTGCGTTTGCATTCCGACCGAAGCGGAAAGACTGGATGACCTACCAGGTGCTATCAACCGTATGAACGTCAACTGGGCATACTTGACGCCCACCGTCGCTTCGCTTCTCCCGCACCCCAGTCAACTGCCCACACTCAAAACTCTCGGCCTCACCGGAGAGCCGATCACGGTAGAAAACCTTAGCAATTGGGCAGAGCATGTCCGACTTGTCAACATGTACGGTCCCGCTGAGACGACTATTTGGACCACAGCTGTCGCTGATCTGAGGCCCGATAGCGTAGTTTCAAATATAGGCTACGGTGTTGGCGCGCTCACCTGGATAGTCGAGGAGGAGAATCATAACCTTCTTACGCCCCTCGGCTGCGTTGGCGAACTGCTCATTGAAGGACCCATTGTGGCCCGCGGCTATCTTAACGACGAAGTCCGGACCAATGATGCTTTCATTGTCAACCCTAGATGGGCCAGCCTGTCGGGGTTGACGCGCAGATTCTACAAAACTGGCGATCTAGTACGATACGCATCCGATGGTTCCCTGCAACTCATTGGGCGCAAAGATACCCAAGTCAAACTTCGTGGTCAGAGAATCGAACTGGCTGAGGTAGAATTCGCACTAAAACGACATCTGAGCGCTTCTTGTGGCGTCATTGACGTCGCAGTTGAGATGGTGACGCTTGCTCAACGATCAGCCGATCGCGTTCTAGTCGCATTCTTCGCACGCCACACACATGGGGACCAGGACGGTCTACTGACAACAATGAACGATGAGCTCAAACGCGAGCTCGTTCGTGCTCAGACTGCAGTCATGCAAGAGCTGCCGCTTTACATGATCCCAAGTCTCTACATCCCGCTACACCACATGCCCATCTCAGTTTCTGCTAAGCGAGACCGCAAGCAGCTCCAAGCGCTTGCTCAGAGCCTGGATCCCGATGCTATCAGCAGATACACTCTAGCCACGGAATCTACTCAGAAACGTGTCCCGTCGACGACCATGGAGCAGGTTTTGCAATCTCTGTGGGCGACTACGCTCGGCATGCCTACCGACACGATTGGAGCTGACGACGACTTCTTCCGTGTCGGTGGCGACTCTATCACAGCTATGCGACTCGCCGCTCGCATACAGGAGAAGGGCATGACACTTACAGTTGCACAAATCTTCAGGAATTCGCGGCTCTGCAACATGGCTTGCGCTGTGACTTCAGGCACGGAGACCCAAGTCATCGAGCCCTTTTCGCTGCTCCGCCAACACATGAGTGTCGACAGTGTTCTAGACGAGGCGGCCGCGCTGTGCCATATGGAGAGGGAGATAATCGAGGATGTTTATCCGTGCACCCCTCTTCAAGAGGGCCTCATGGCTCTCTCGGCCAGACAGACTAGATCTTACGTCGCTCAGAACATCTTTTGCTTGTCTGATATTGACTCTTTGGATCTTGTCCGGTTCCAAGATGCGTGGGAAACCACCGTCAAGGCGATTGAGATCATGCGAACCCGGATTGTCTACTCGCAGACTTTAGGAGCCTTGCAAGTCGTACACAAGCAACCAGTGACTTGGGAAGAGTCATCCTCACTTGATCACTACCTTAACAAGGCTGCAAATGCAACCCAATCCTACGCAAGCCCTCTGGCACGCTTTGGGCTCGTCAATGACTGCACGAAGCTATACTTCGTCTGGACAGCGCACCACGCTCTGTATGATGGCTTCAGTCTGCCTCTCATTCTCGAACGTTTCCAGCGAGCATACGAAGGCTCCGCCATTCCATCTTCGCCGTCCTTCAATCACTTCATTGGCTACCTGCAGAGCATCGAGCCTATGGCTTGGAAAGACTACTGGCACGCCCAGCTCAACGGCACCAGCCAATTCAGCTTCCCAGGAAAGCTTTCCGTAGGGTCCCAGAGTCTGTCCAGGGTGAAGCAGTCCGTGCAACTTCATGGTGAAGCGTCTAGATTCACTACTTCCACAATTCTGCGAGCGGCTTGGGCGTTGCTTCTCGCGCAGTACTCCGAGAGCGACGACGTGGTATTTGGAGCCACGGTGAGTGGTCGCAATGCCCCCATAGATGGCATTAATCAGATTGTCGGTCCAACGATTGCAACCGTGCCCATTCGAGTCCGGCTAGATCGTGAGAGAAATATTGAGGACCTTCTCAGCGCCATGCAGGAACAGGCAACGGATATGATCCCATTCGAGCACATCGGCCTGCAAAACATTCGTCAGCTGGGGCCTCACGCGCAGGCTGCGTGTGATTTCCAGAATCTGTTGATCATTCAACCGCGCGTAGCAGATGCGGATGACGATGCGGCTGTTCTCAAACTCCCAACCACCGGGAACGATGTCGTCCACCCATATCCACTCGCCGTAGAGTGCAATATTGAAGAGGCCACTATCGATCTTATTATCGACCACGATACCAGCGCTTTGTCTGCCTTCCAAGTCAATAGAATCATCCACCAGTTCGAGCACATTATCAATCAGCTGCGCACCGCTCCTGCAGAAACCCAACTGAGTGAGCTAGAGCTCCTCTGCCAGAGTGACAAGCGGCAGATCTGGGATTGGAATGCCGTTGAGCCGGTGGCTGAAGAGGCTTGCGTGCATCATGGCGTGGAAGAGATGGTCCGTGAGACGCCGCACGCGCAGGCAGTTGATGCCTGGGACGGGCAGTTGACGTACCGCGAACTTGATCTAGCGGCGACACGGCTGGCTCACCACTTGATAGACCAGGGGGTGGGACCCGAAACCATGGTGGCCATGTGCTTCGACAAGTCCATGTGGAATGTCGTCTCCATGTTGGCAGTTCTGAAGGCTGGAGCCGTTTGCGTGGCTCTCAATCCCGAGCATCCTATGAGCAGGCACCGCATCATCCTGGATGACATCAAAGCCAAGGTCCTGCTTGTGGCAACAAAGCACCAGGATCTGTTCGAGGGCGAGATTGACAACATAGTCGCTGTTGATGCTACGTTCCTCCAGACGCTCCCCGATAACCACAGACGCCTCTGTCCCACGGTCAAACCTGAAAATGCTGCTTTCGTGGTATTTACCAGCGGCTCAACAGGCAAGCCGAAGGAAATTGTCCTCACTCACCAAGCCATGAGCACGTGTACACGTGAGTTGAGTGCAGCAATGCGAATTAACGCTTCCTCCCGCGTCCTTCAGTTCGCGGCGCACACCTTCGACGTCTCAATCGGCGAGATTTTCATCACTTTGATGGTTGGAGGCTGTGTGTGCGTTCCGTCTGACACGCAGAGAGCCGAGCCGGGCCTAGCAATTAACACTTATCGCGTTGACTGGTGTTACCTAACGTCAACTGTAGCATCTCTTTTGCAGCCATCGGACACACCTACTCTGAAGACCCTGGCATTGGGCGGCGAGGCGGTTAGTCAAGAGTTGATTCACGAATGGGCCGATCGCGTATTTCTTGTCAACGTCTACGGCCCAGCTGAAAGCACCATTTGGTGCACTGCTCAATCGAACCTCTCCACATTCAGCTCCGCTGCCAACGTTGGTAGAGGTCTTGCTACCCTCACATGGATCGTCGATGTGCGCAATCACAACCATCTCGCGTCCATCGGTACTATAGGGGAGCTGCTCATAGAAGGGCCATTACTAGCAAGACATTACCTAAACGAGCCTGAGAAGACAGCCGCTGCCTTCATCGAAAACCCCACGTTCCTCAAGGATAGCACGAGTTCACGACGTCTTTACAAGACCGGTGACCTCGCCCGCTACAACTGCGACGGTACACTTAGTATCATAGGCCGTAAGGACACGCAAGTAAAATTGTTTGGGCAGCGTATCGAGTTGGGCGAAATCGAACACCACCTCAAGCCGCACCTCGAGCCATTGGGTCTGAGTCAGGTCACTGTTGAGATGGTTAAGCCGCAGTATTCAGGACAGGCACTCCTCGCCGCCTATATGTCCGGTCCTTCTCAAGAGCAGGAGCAGGCGGCCGGCCAGGTCACAGCACTACCCTTTTCCAAACTGACACGCGAGGCCTTGCTCTGCGCCGACCGCGCACTCGCTACAACGCTGCCTTCGTACATGGTCCCGACCTTGTACATCCCGCTGAACTACATCCCGCTGACAACCTCTGGTAAGACGGACCGCAAGCGCTTGCGGCAGCTGGCTCAAGAAGAACTCTCGGCGGACGAATTCTCCGGCTTCGGCCTGTCGAGCAACAACATCGCGCCTGTCTCTAGCGACATGCAGGTTAGGCTACGCGATCTATGGGTTGAGGTCTTGGGTATTCCCGCCGCGTCCATCGGCGCGAACAGCAATTTCATGCGCCTCGGTGGAGATTCTATCGGCGCTATGAAGCTCGTTGCAGCGTCCCGTGGCAAGGGTCTTGCGATTAGCATTGTTGACATTTTCCGCCACCCTGTTCTTCAGGACTTGGCAGCGGCGACCACTGCTACAGGAAACGCTACGGACATGAATGACACAGTAGAGTTGGTGGAGCGGTTCTCTATGATCAAGGATGGAGACAACCTGCAACACCACATTCAGCACGCCGCATCGCAGTGCGGTGTCGATACCTCGGTCGTGCAAGATTTATACCCGACCACCACGCTCCAAGAGGGACTTTTGGCCCTTTCTGTCAAAGCTCCTGGAGCGTACATGGCACAGCACTGTTTCGAACTACCGCAGGGAGTCGATCTTCACCGCTTCAAGAGTGCATGGGCTTGGGCAGTCGCGGGCATGGATATTCTGCGAACTCGTGTTGTCTACTCTTCGCAGCTTGGCTCGCTCCAGGTCGTCCTTGATAGCAGTATCGACTGGCACAGCTCTGCCTCATTGGAGGACTGTCTTCGCGACGCTCGGGAGCTGTCTGTCGAATACGGTGGTTCCTTGACGCGCTATACACTGATCCAAGAAGACAACAAGATCTTCTTCGTCTGGAACGTACATCATGCCTTGTTCGACGGCGCAAGCATGCAACTCATGATGCAGAAGGTGGCGGATGCCTACGAAGATCTTCCATCGGACCCCCAGAGCCAGCCTTTCAGCAGCTTTGTCAGGTATCTTACAGACGCCGACCCTAGTGCCGCGGAGACGTTCTGGAAGGCTGAGCTCGACGGCGCGAACCCCCCCAGTTTCCCACCTCTGACGACATCCACTCGGCAGCACCGTCTGTCCTTTAGCCAGGAGATCGAGCTGTCGAGCAACGCCACTGAATTATCCTACACCCTCCCGAATTTGATTAAAGCTGCTTGGGCCTTGATCCTGGCCCGGTACTCAGAAACGGATGATGTGGTCTTTGGACTAACGCTGTCGGGTAGAAACGCGCCTGTAAGGGGAATCACCACCATCGTCGGACCAACGATCACTACTGCGCCCCTGAGGGTCAAGGTCCCTACAACCGCCACCGTCAGGGAGTTCCTCGAGGAAATTCAGACTCAAGCAACTGATATGATTCCCTACGAGCACACCGGATTGCAGAGAATTCAACGATTTGCACCACAATTCAGCGCGATCTGCGACCTGCGCAGCCTCTTGGTGATACAACCGCGAATGGAAGATGATAATGACGACTATAAGGGCAACATGCTAAGAATGAAACCGGTCGACCATTCGCAGTCCAATTTCCACACCTATCCCCTCGTTGCCGAATGTAATGTCAATCGCTCCAGCATTGACGTAGAGTTCCAATACGATGCTGATGCTATTCCGAGCATTCAAATAGAGAATTTCTCGGCTCAATTTGTGCAGGTCTTACGCGAGTTCATCGATGCTGCGTCTTCTAGGGCAGAGATGAAGGTTGTCGACATCGACATGGTCAGCCCTCTCGAAAAGCAGAAAATTCTGGCTTGGAACCGTGATGAGCCTGTCGTGGTTGATTCCTGCGCCCACGAAATCATTAGGGAGCAAGCAATGAAGCGCCCGGATGCTGTTGCTGTAGACGGTTGGGACGCGTCCTTCACTTTCGCCGAACTAGACCAACACTCAGAGCAGCTTGCAAACCACCTCTCATCTCTTGGGGTCGGTCCAGAAGTCCTAGTTCCATTCTGTCTGGATAAATCTGCCTGGGTGGTTGTCGCAATGCTAGCTACTCTCAAGGCCGGAGGAGCGTGTGTCGCGCTCAATCCAGCTCACCCAATCGATCGCCTGCAAACTATCCTGCGTGAGACGGCGTCTAAAATTGTTCTCGTTGGACCCGAATATAGCGACATGTTCAAGGGAAAATGCCACGCGGTCATCATTGATGGCGCACTTCCCAAGAGGCTGCAGGCTTCTGCTGGGTACAATACCCCCGAACGCACCCCGGCTCAACCAGACAATGCTAGTTTTGTCGTCTTTACTTCTGGGAGCACAGGTGTTCCAAAGGGCATCGTTATCGAGCATAAGGCTCTTTGCTCTTCTGCAGAAGCGCATGGTGCAGCGATGCGTCTCCAGGAATCGTCTCGAGTTCTTCAATTCGCAGCTTACACTTTTGACGTCAGCATTGGGGAAATAGTCTCCACTCTGATACACGGTGGGTGCGTCTGCGTCCCTTCCGAGAAGGACAGGATGGAAAACCTGGTTGAGTTTATCAACAAGTACCGCATCAACTCTACCTATCTCACACCCACAGTGGCCAACCTTATGTACCCCGAGGAAGTCCCTACAATCGAAACGCTCTCCTTGGGAGGTGAGGCGCTTAGACCAGAGCACGTCTCGAGGTGGGCTGACCACGTTTATCTTAATAACCTGTATGGCCCTGCCGAGACGACCATTTGGTCCACTGGACATACTGGCGTCACATCAAGCACTTCTGCGTTAAACATTGGCCGGGGCGTTGGCGGAAAGATGTGGGTGACTGAGCCTCGCAACTCTGACCGTCTGTGTGCTATAGGATGTGTTGGTGAGCTTCTAATCGAAGGGCCCATCCTAGCTAGAGGATATCTCAACGCACCAGGAAAGACTGCGGCGGCCTTTATTGAGAATCCTCTCTGGACTCTGAACGATGGCTCCAAAACCACGCGCCGATTCTACAGAACCGGAGATCTCGTTCACTACAACCCTGATGGCACCCTGGAGTTCATTGGCCGTCGCGACAACCAAGTTAAGATCCGTGGACAGCGAGTCGAACTTGGCGAAGTTGAGTCCCACGTCTCCACCCACCCGAGTGTGCAGCATTCGGCCGTTATCATGCCGCAAGCAGGATACTTCGAGGGCCTCCTCGTTGCGGTTATGTCGACTCGCCCAACACGTAGTGGTGCTGCTGATCTGCAACTGCTGAACTCGGAGGAGCGCGAAGCCGCGGAGTCTTTGATTCGGGAGCTCGGCAGCATTGTCAAGGAGCGCCTACCTAGTTACATGGTGCCTAACATTTGGATCGCCGTCGAGAGGCTTCCTATGAATGCGTCCGGGAAGCTAGACAAGAAGGCTATCAAGATTTGGACTGAGCGACTGGATGAGGACATGTACAAGCAAATCACCGCTACGACCATTGAAGAAGACACGATCGTGGCGGTAGCAAACAACGAAAGGGAGGCACACATTCAGCAGCTTTGGGCTAACGTACTCAACGTTCCCCTACACCTTGTGTCCATGAACCAACCTTTTGTTGTCTTGGGCGGGGATTCCATCACCGCGATGCAACTGGTCAGCCTCTTCCGCTCGGAGAATATTGGCAAAGTCACTGTCAAGGATATCCTACAGTGCCCGAATATCCCACAGCTGGCTGCCATGACGGAGCCATATAAGCAGTCTAAAGTGGTGGCCGTTGAAGAGCCCGATAAGCCTTTCGGCCTTACACCCATCCAGCAACTATATTTCTCCATCGCTCCACACGCCAATACTATGTTTCACCAGAGTCTGAGTCTTAAGTTCTCCAGGCCTACCGAGGTCCAGCAAATACTAGCTGCAGTAAACGAGCTTGTTCACTATCACTCGATGCTGCGCAGCCGATTCGTCAGGTCGGCCTCTGGGAAATGGACGCAATTCATCAGCCCCGATATAGCTGGCTCTTATAATTTCAGGTCCCACGAAATCTCAGGCATATCTGAGACTATGAAACTCATGACTGCCGCACAAACAAGACTCAATGTTGAGCATGGCCCGATGCTGGCTGTGGATCTCTACAACGTCAAGGATGGCGAGCAAATCCTCTTCGTCTCTGCACACCATCTCATCATGGACTTGTTCTCATGGAGGGTGCTTCTTGTGGATCTGGAAAGATTGCTCGGAGGTAGCTGTCTCGCTTCTGAGAAACCATTCCCCTTCCAAGTTTGGAGCAAGCTGCAGGCCGATTACGCCCGTGAGCATCTATCGCCCAGCAATGTCCTTCCCACCCCTTTCGACATCCCTTCGGCAAACTTCGAATATTGGGGAATGGCGACCAAGCCAAACAGAGCCGCAGATATCGTCCGCCATGAATTCTCCCTGGACGTAGCTACGACGGCCAGTCTCCTCGGGAGATGTAACCAAGCCCTTCGGACCGAACCGCTTGACATTCTCCTTGCTGCGCTTGTTTCGTCCTTTTGCCGCACATTCCCCGACCGGGAGGCGCCTCCAATTTACAGCGAAAGCCATGGACGCGAGGCTTGGGATGCCGCTATGGATCTTTCCCGGACGGTTGGGTGGTTCACTACGATTGTGCCAACCTATGTTCCTGCCACCGCCAAAGACGGAATTTTTGAGGTCCTCCGTCGTATCAAGGATACCCGTAGACAAACTCCTGCAAACGGCTGGGAATACTTTTGCTCTAGGTTTCTCAACCCAGAAGGCCCCTCCACCTTTAAGGACCATTGGCCGATGGAGATCCTCTTCAACTACCAAGGCCAATACCAGCAACTCGAGCGCAGCGACTCTCTCCTCACATTCGAGTCGCTTCCCATGCCAGAAGTGGGTGGTGATATGGAGCGTTTCGCTCTGTTTGAGATTCAGGCATTCATTGTTCATGGCGCCGCGCGATTTTCGTTCGCTTACAACGGTGGTATTGAAATGCAGACCCGAGTGCATGAGTGGATCGATGCATTCGAGATGGCCCTCCACGATGCGGTTCGTTGCATGACGTCGCATGTCATGGAACCCACCCTATCCGACTTCCCGCTACTACCTGCTACGTACGACAGTCTTGACAAGCTGATGAAGGAACGCCTGCCTGCGATGGGGCTCCAGTCATTCGATCAGATTGAAGATGCCTACCCGTGCTCTCCCATACAAGAGGGCATCATGATCAGCCAAGAGCGCATACCTGGCGCCTACGAGCTTGCGGTGGTCGCCGAGGTCGTCTCAACCCATCCACGCATCCCACCGTCGATCGACCGCCTTAAACTCGCCTGGCAGCAGGTCGTTGCCCGCCACTCGATGCTTCGTACCGTCCTCACCAGGGCAGTTACACCCGGAAGTCTGTTCATGCAGGTGGTACTCAAACATGCGGAAGCCCGCATTTCGCATTTGAAGTGCACCGACGACGACGCTGCCCAGGTCGCACTCGAGGCAGAGCACCGTCTGAACTCGAGCAGCACCGAGCCTTCGCATCATCTGACACTGTGCGAAACGTCTTCAGGAAAAGTCTTCTGCAGGCTCATCATCAACCACGCCCTCACCGATGCGGCGTCGAATGCCCTCCTATTCCGCGATTTCACTACAGCATACGAAGGAAGGCTGACAAAAATGAGTGCTGCTCCACTCTACCGCGACCACATCCGTTACTTAAGCGGGCTGTCAATCGAAGACAGCCTTAGCTACTGGAAGGGCCACCTGGCAGACGTATCTCCGTGCCACTTCAGTGCTACTGGCGGAGAAACAAAGGACGGCGCTACGAAAGAGATTGATCTACATATCGGGTCGCTTCCAGCGCTGCGCAACTTCGCTAAGACAAAAAACCTGACGCTGAACAGTCTCTTCCAAACCGCGTGGGCAATGGTGCTACGAATCTTCACAGGCGCCGAGGACGTGTGCTTCGGCTTTCTGTCGTCTGGACGTGACGTTCCCGTCGATGGAATTGCCGATGCTGTGGGACCCTTCATTAACATGATGGTCTGCCGCAGCAACGCTGGCGCCGAGACGTCGCTGCTCGCTATGGCTAAAGCCATACAAGGCAGCTTCGCCGACAGCTTGCAACACCAACACTGCTCGCTGGCCAAGATCCAGCAGGCGTTGGCCCTTGGCGGTCAACCGCTTTTCAACACAGCGATGACTTTCATGCCTGATTCAGGGGCCGAGGGAGCCAGAAAGCCAGAGATCACGTTTGAGAACAGGGGAGGACAAGATCCCACTGAGGTAACGTATCCCATGTCTTTGGAATTTCTTTCTAGGAGTAATTTGGTCTAACTGACTGCCCCACAGTACGACATCGGCGTTGGAGTACTTGCATCCGATAAGAAGGTTATGGCAAAACTCAAGTACCGCGCTTCGTGCATGTCCGCCACCCAGGCCCGCAATGTGGGCTATGCTTTCAGCAAGGCCTTGGAGAACTTGTTCAAAACTCCACACAGCTTGCTCGGCGAGCTGGATCTGTTCGCTGAGGGTCATCGCGAGCAAGTCTTGGCTTGGAATGCTGCTGCGCCGGAGCCTGTGGAAATGTGTGCACACGACGAAATCATGCAGAGAACGGCCGAGTCCCCTGACGCTACCGCTATCTGTGCTTGGGATGGTACTATCACCTACAGCGAGCTTGACGATATCACCAACTACCTGGCACACCATCTTGTATCCCTCGGCGTTGGGCCCGAAGTAGTTGTGCCTCTTTGCTTCGAGAAGTCAATCTGGGCCGTTGTCGCCATGATTTCAGTTGCCAAAGCCGGTGGTGCTGTACTTTTCCTCGACCCCAGCCATCCACAGGAGCGCAGACAATTCATCATTAACGAGGTATCTGCTAGCCTCGTCATGGCATCATCGCAGCATTCAGCCCTCTTCACCTCGGAAATTGACACGCTTACTATCAATGGCGATATGATTCGTGACCTGCATATCCGCGACGGTCCGCCAAAGTCCAACGTGGAGCCATCGAATCTGATGTATGTCATTTTTACATCCGGATCCACGGGCACGCCTAAAGGTTGTATGGTGGAGCATCGTAACTTCTGCAGCGGCGTAATCCACCAAAGATCGCTGTCCGTTACCATCAAACGCGAGGACCGTGTTCTCCAGCTCGCGTCCTACAGTTTTGACGTCAGCATCATGGAGACATTCACTGCCTTGATGAACGGTGCTTGCATCTGCATCCCACACCAAGCCACCGTGTCCAGCTCTTTGACTTCCGTCATCAACGACATGGGTATCACCTGGGCCTTTCTCACTCCTTCGCTTTCCCGAGTCATCAATCCCACAGAAGTCAAGGGTATGCGCTCCATCGTGCTGGGTGGTGAAGCGGTCTCACGCACAGATGTCGCCAAATGGGCCGGCGTCGTGCAAATAAGCAATGGCTACGGGCCGTCTGAGTGCTCTATCGCTGCGACATGCAACCCGAGTCTAACGCTAGACTCTGATCCAACTAACATTGGCGCCCCTATGGGCGGCCTGTGCTGGGTTGTAGATGCTGCCAATCACGATAGGCTAGTTCCCATTGGCGCTGTCGGTGAGCTCCTCGTGGAGGGCCCTATCGTTGCCCGCGGATACGTCAAGAATGCTGAGAAGACGAGGGCCGTTTTTACCGAAAATCCCGCGTGGCTGAGGGGTGAAGGATCAGGAGTTCGCAGGATGTACAAGACGGGCGACCTTGTTCGCCAGAATCCCGATGGCACCATCAACTTTGTCGGCCGCAAGGATGACCAGGTGAAGCTGCGCGGTCAACGCATTGAGTTGGGCGAGATCGAACACCATCTCCACTCAAATCCCCAGATCCACCATTCCATGGTCCTACGCCTCTCAAATGGGCCACTGAAGAGCCGTCTGGTGGCTGTGCTGACTTTGAGGCATGCCAGCGAAGATAAGGAAGAGGGTGATGGAATTGCATTACTCGGAAAGGATCAGATATCTGCTGCAGGCGTACAGTTGGCCGAGCTGCGCGACGCGCTGGCAGATCATGTTCCCGAATACATGGTGCCGACGACTTGGATCGTACTGCAGAGGATGCCGCTCACAGCATCTGGCAAAATGAACCGTGTCGTGGTCAAGTCTTGGTTGGATAGACTCGATTCGGAGACTTGTACGCGAGTGAACGAGGCCATGGTGACGGAAGAAGTGGGCAACGCGGAGCCGAAATCGGCTATTGAGAGTATCATTCAGAAGGTCTATGGTCAAGTTCTCGGCATGCAGCCCGAGGAGGTAAGAACTCTAGCTTCGTTCTGTAGGATCTGGAACAGTACTGACAAGTGGTAGGTGCACATGGGACTCTCGTTTCTCAGCTTGGGTGGCGACTCGATCTCTGCTATGCAGGTGATCAGCCAGCTTCGCGAAGAGAGCGTCACTGTGTCTATTCGCGATTTACTGCGTAGCAAGACCATTGCTGAGCTCGCCGCTTTGGCAAAGACGGAGGTGGCTGGTCCGTTGGTACCAGTCGAAACAGTCAACACGCTCTTCCCTCTGTCGCCGGCTCAGAGAATGTTCTTTGAAATGGCATCAGACCCAAAGCAACAGTTTAACCAAAGCTTCACCCTCCGTCTGAAGACTTCCGTCTCGACGGTTGCTTTAGAGAAAGCCCTTCAAGCAGTGATCCAGAGGCACTCGATGCTGCGCTCCCGCTTCCAACGCGTCGATGGTCACGAGTGGGCTCAGCTCATCAGCCCGGACATTACAGGTTCATACGACTTTAGAGTGCAGCACGCGGCGACAATTCAAGACTTGCTACCCATAGCGAACGAAATGCAGTGTAGCTTAGACATCGAGCGCGGCCCGACCATGGGTGTTGGTTCGTTCACTGTGGATGGCGGTGACCATCTCCTGTACCTTGTGGCTCACCACCTTGCCATTGACCTGGTGTCGTGGCGCATAATTATGGCCGACCTTGCCGAGCTAATTCACGGACGTCCAGGTAGCCAGGTCCCGCCATTCCCGTTCCAGGTGTGGAGCCAGTTGCAGGCGGACCAGGCGCGTGAGCAGCTCAGCCCAGCCAAAGTGCTGCCGTTTGAGGTACCCGCGGCAGACTACGGTTTCTGGGGGATGGACAACCAGGCAAACACGTACAGAGACAATTCTGAGCTCGGCTTCAAGCTGGACTCTCATACCACGACAATGTTGCTAGGAAGCTGCAACGCAGCTATGGGCACCGAGCCACTCGACATCTTCCTTGCGGCGCTGATTCACTCCTTTGCCCAGACCTTCACAGAACGCGCACCTCCGGCCTTGTTCAGCGAAAGTCACGGCCGAGAGCCATGGAGCGCCGACATTGACCTGTCCAGGACTGTGGGCTGGTTCACGGCCGTCTCTCCTATCTTCGTAGCAGGCGGCTCAGAAGTGGTGGACTTGGTCCGTCAGGTCAAGGACATGCGCCGGAGCGTACCTGGCAAGGGCAGGCCATACTTCGCTTCGCGCTACCTCAACTCGCAGTGCCGCGAGGCGTTCAAGAAACACTGGCCAGTTGAGGTGCTATTCAACTACCACGGCCTCTACCAGCAGCAGGAGCGCCAAGATTCGACATTTGAGATTGTGCCGCTGACGCCTGACGACTTCAGTCAGGACTTGCGCAGGCTGGCCCTCTTCGATATATCGGCGACCGTTTCGCACGGCGTTGCTAAGTTCTCCATGACGCACAGCCGCGCGATGAAGCACCAGGACCGCATCGCTCAGTGGATGTTGGCCTTCAAAGACTCGCTGTCACATGCCGTCGCCGACCTTGGCGCCATACATCAGGGCCAAAGGACGCTCAGTGACTTCCCGCTGCTACCGTTCGGCCGCTTCGCCAGCGTTGACGCCCTCGAGCAGGGGCTTCGCGCCATGGGCATCAACAGCCTCGCCGACGTCGAGGACGTCTATCCATGCTCGCCTATGCAAGAATCAATACTCGCGGCGCAGGTTCGATGCCGCGACTACTACCAGATTTGCAATGTCTTTGAGCTGGCGGGCGCCATCAGCGTGCCACGCCTGCACCGCGCCTGGCAGGCCGTCATCGACCGTCATCCCATTCTCCGCACTACCTTCCTCCCGCCATCATCGACATGCTCCTCCAGTCGCTTGCAGGTCGTCCGCCGCCCCGGGGTTCAAGCCGCGCGCATTCAGCACATAAGTGACATTCCCATCAACAGCGCCGCAGAACTAGCAGTTGTATGTCCGACCAGGAATTCGCACCGCGACAACGACGAGGTGGGCGCAAGCCCGCACTTTCTAACCACAGGCGTTAGTGCTGATGGGGCGCGCGTACTTGTGCGCGTTGAGATGTCTCACGCACTGATTGACGGCGCCAGCCTGCAAACGTTACTCCGCGAGTTCACCGCCGCATACGAGCACCAGCAGCAAGACAACCCTTGGACCGAGCCCGCACCCAAGTTCTCGAAACACGTTGCGCGCCTCATGGCGGCTAAGCAAGAACAGAAGGGAGAGGCCATGCAATACTGGCAAGACTATGTCGACTCCATTGCTGCCGATCATCAGAGCAGTGTCTCCGTAGCCAACAACACTGCTTGTCCTTCTTCTTGTTCTTCTTCTTCTTCTTCTTCTTCTTCTTCTTCCTCCTCCTCCTTCTCCTCCTCTTCTTCTTCTCCTTCTTCTTCTTCTTCTCCTCACGACCTCCTCCGCACCGTCATTGTCCCGCACCACCTCATGCCTTCAATCGACGCAATGCGCGCCTGCTGCGCCACTCACGACGTCACGCCATCAAGCGTGTTGCGTGCCGCCTGGGCCCTTGTACTATCGCTACGCGCCGGCGTCTGTAGTCCTCATCCAGCATTCGCATACCTTGTTGCCGGACGAGAAGAAGAAGAAGACCACGGCGACAGCATGGCCGGCGCCATCGGCCCATTTTTCAGCACGCTGATCTGCGCACTGGGCGTTTCCGAAGAGAAGACATTGAAGCACATACTGTCTGACGCACAGTCTGATGCCGTGGCAGGGATGGCGGCGAGTAGCGCCGCGCCGTGGGTAAAGGGCTTGTTGGATGCAGAGGTGCGCGTAGACGTGTCGTCGATGATTAATTTCAGAAAATATGCGACGACGACCAGAAGCAAGGACAGAGAAGAACAAGAAGAAGATGCAAATACACGCTTGGGAGACATTTCAGCATGGCGCACGGTAGCGGTGCATGATCCCTTTGAGTACGATGTTGTTGTTGAGGCGGAGGAAGATGGCAGAGGGGCGATGGTGGTGGAATTGAAGTTCTGGGGCGATAGGGTTGGAGATGGAGAGGCGGAGGAGCTAGCGGTAAGACTTGCGAGGGTCATGGGCATGTTGGTTATTAATAGTAGGGTCACGGTTCAGGAGTTAAGGCAAGAGATCGTTATTTAGATGTATATTTTCCTATATTAGTAGATTTGTTGAATTATAGAGAAATGAAGCGCATATAGTTTCCCCATACCCCGCAGAATTTACAGCCGTAGAATGAATTCAAAGAGGACTAAAAGAAGGTAAGTAGGTGATTCATCGCTCGGCCGTTTGCAATAACAATCCAATTGATATATAGGCCCTCCTAGCGTCTCAAGCCAATTTCCAAGCAGCGCCACGATGCCAGCACCAAGCAATAAGCATGCAATCTTGAAGACCAGCGAAGTCAAGTTTCTCGTCACCCTCGGGTCGAACAAGAAGTCACGGGCGTGGAATTCAACTAGGCCCGTGTAAATCAAGATGCCGGCCGAAATCGAGTCGGGCCCTCCAGAGACAGCAGTTGCCGTAAAGCTGCCGGGGTTGTATGTTGTCCGAAGACCCAGGGCAATCGAGATCGAGATAGGCGTTGTGAGACTGTAGCCTAGGCAGATAGCATGGATATACAGGGCCCTGCGTTCACTATAGCACATAAGCTGGTATCAATACACTTTCAGCGGCCAGTTCATTCAGGTTCCTGTCAGCAGATTCACCCCAAATTTTAGTATGTTGAATCGCGCATTGTGTTACACATGTCGGCCAATCTACAGCTGCGCGGCATATATATTCATTAGCTATTGGTGGTGGGTGTAGAACCTGGCTTTGTGAGCGGGCAATTCGCAGAATGACGTTCGTCAGGTGGGGCCGTGCGCCAGGTGGTTCGCCACGTTATCGCCACGTTATCGTACGCTACTCGCCCCACAGTTGCTAAGGTGTTCCTACAATACAGTCAAACCCCGCCAAGCCGATCACCCGCCAAGCTAATAACCTTAATATCGCGATAATTTTTTTGTGCCTTAATTATCCCCCTATACAAATTAATTAATACCTTACCCCCTAATATATTAGCTGCAAAACACTAAAATATTGCCTTACTAAAATTAATAAGCAATAGCTTACAGGATTACAAAAGAACAGCGCAGAGCTCTTAGAAGCTAGTATAAGAGTTAAACACCTTAACTATGCTACAAGGACTGTATACAGTGGTTCTTATAGCAGTATAACTATAGAATTAGTTAGTTAACAGTCTCTAAGTTGCTAAGCAGCATGTTTAATAATATTAACTAACCTAATCTCTCTTAGCAGCCTTTATTAGCAGTGCAACATATAACTAGTAATTAGCTAATCCTTAACTTAATACTTTTCTAGTAGTTCTAGTTAATAGAAGCTTGTAGAGCTTATATTACTAGCAACCTGCTTTTTAAGAAAGCACGTAAGATCTAGCTACAGATTAACAAGTATTAACATCTACCTCCTCTAAAGTTTAGCCAGGGCTGGCTATATTAGTTCTAGCAGCGCTTTAATATTAAGTTTTAACAGCGCTACAGTGAGGCTAGATCTGTAGATAATACTGCAGTAAAAGAGGTAATAAAATTAGTTTAAACAATCTGTAGCAAGTATGCTAAAGAGAATATATATAATATAGATAAGATAAGGTTATTTTAGAGAAATATACTAGTAGAAGGGCTATTAACCTAGCCTCTACCTAGAGTTAAAAAGTTAAAGTTAAGGATTACTATAGTATGCTGTACTAACGTAACTAGCTTTTATTAGCTATCTCTATAGCTTATTAGCTATGCTAAGCAGCCTTAACCTCTCTGTAGTATTAATCTCTAAGCGCTTAATATATATTAGCGTGTAAATAAGAAGGCATAGATAAACTTAACACTTATAGCTAAGTAGTTAATATATTTCTATAGTAGTGTTATAGCTTAGCTAATTCTTCTCCTTATAGACAACTTTAAGGCTTACATTTAAGGCCTGCAGCAGGCTCTTTTACTATCCTATATCTGTGTTGCCTTTCTTCTACTAAATACAACAAGCCTATATTAACTTCTTAATTAAGGGATTATCTAGAATCTAAAGACCTACTATAGGAAATACTAGCTTTAATTTATAGTAAAGAAGTATAAGGCTAGCTACAACCCTTTATTAATAATTATGCTTTAAAACACGCTTTAATAGCTGCGCATTGCTTAGATAGACAATATATTAAGCTTAACAATATACAATTGCTTCTGCCGCAGTACAGTTATCCTACCACAGGTACCGCAGCTACCCCTCCAGCCAGAACTAGACCTCTTAGGCCTATACAATTGTACGCAGGAGGCTAGCTAGATATAGGATATAATAAGCCTTAGTAACTTCCTTAATCTAATTAATAAGGACACTAATATTAGGAAGAAAGATTAAATGCTTAAGGATATAGTTATAGAGCATAACAATAGCGTTAATACTAAGAAGGCTTAAGCTAAAGATAAGGGCAAGATTATACCTTTACTTATAACTTGTTAAGTAATTTAGGCTATCTAGTTACTTTTATAATACTAACAACACTAAGAGACAGTAATTAATATAGACATCTGCTAACTTAAGCGCCTAGAGAGGCAATATTAAGCCTACAAGGCTTAACATCAGCGCTAACAAACACTAGATAGTTAGCTTATATAATTAAATTATTGCTAAGACACATCTTGGCAACCCCAGTGAGCTAATACCCTCAGTAAGGCGATTGAATTGACGTGGCTGGATTCCTATCGGCTTGGCGGGGTTTGACAGGTGTTCGAGGCGGCGCTGAGTGCCCGCTGAGCCGGCTGCCTCGCTTGCCGGCCAATCGCCCGCCCCCGGCATCCGTGCACGCTCTCTGCCGGCTGCCGGCTGAGCCCGCCGCGGATTGCCCATGTACCTGCTATATTGAATTGAGAGGTTACGCCTGTCTGCTGCTAATTGGCCTTGTTCCTGTGGAACTTCTTCTTCGCGCTGCTGACGCTGTATTACGCCCTGTATTGTAGCTCCTTGAAGGCCTAGCTGCTCTGTTGCCCGCATGACTGAGCCCTGCAGAAAGGCAATGTGCCGTATCCGTAGGATTTTGAGCAGTTGCCTGCTGGGACTTGGTGGAAAACGTGGCATAAATTTTGACAGGTGTTTCACTTGTATGGACTGGGGTGGATGAGAAGGTACGAGCGATCAACTACTATGTGGCAAAGGATAGAGAGGGAGGGGATAGAAGTACTTCATGAACAGCGAAGGCAGACGGCTTTATATGCTCGTGTACTTCGCTACGTGTCCCTTCCTGATTCAATCTCTTCGGCGCAGCCTGGCTTCTCAGCTGCTAGATCCAGATCCATGCCCACCAGAGGCGAAGCCTCCCCTGCTGGCGAGCTCTGGTTATCCGCGATGGCTGCGCTAGGCGCATGAATTACAGCTCATGGACATGGCTCCACCATCCTTTGAACTGGGTTCGAGAGATACCCAAGCGGAGCAGTTCCCTTTTACGCAGCGAAGGGGCAGCTCAATGCGCCGCTCTGGTTCGCGTCCTTCCTTTGCTACCCTTGGACAAAGCTGCTGCTCGAGCTCAATCTAGTCGAAGGGATTTCAGCCGCACTCTGTGACGTGTGAGACCGCGCTTTCGGGCGCAGCTTGCTAAGACAGTGGCCTGAAATCGGACTTAGGCACAGTAGCAAAGGCTGAATCGTTTCTCTCTACGGTCCGTCTGGGACCACGCCTAGATCCATGATCCCTCACTTAGCAGAGGTGAGGCATTTTCGTGATTGGCGCTTGCGGATGTATTCAGGGGCAGGTCAGGCGCTGCCCCGGTGCGGTTGCGGCGGTGAATGTTAGATCAGGGATGACCGAAAGATAGTGGGCCAACACTATGGTCAGATTAGATCATGCTCATCAGAGGGTTGAGAAAAGGAAGCCAAAGAGGCATAGATGTGATCTCGAACATCGTCGTAACAGACCGAAAGGGTATCGGGAAAAAATCCAAACATGAAGGGGGAGAAGACTCTAGACATGGAAGCGAAGATCCATATGATGTGAGGCCAGCTAGAGATGTATAGTCGTCCAATCCGCACGGAAATCATATAGACAGAATCACAGGCTACCTCGTCAAGTGGATTGAAGAGGTGGGAACCGGAGACGCCGTGCAAAATTTTGGCTGATTAGTGTGAGGTTCTTGATTGGCGGGCGGAGACGAAAGAGAGCAGGCGGGCGGGGCGCGGATTGGCATCGGCTACTTGGCGACGGAAGTGCCAGGGTAGGATGAGAGAAGTTTAAGGAAAAGAGATGAGGAGGAAGCCTGATGGAGGGGCGAGCATTTTATAGATGTCAAAAGCAGCGGGTTGGTGGGGCGAGGAGCGATACCCGATGAGGCTAAGCGCAGGGACTGCGCTAAACCCTAAGAGGGAGTCCCTGGACATAGATTACTAGCTTAAACTTTAGCATTAGTCAGCATAAGTTTAACGCTTACATTTTATAAGGCTTATGCTTATCGCACATTAGTGCCTGCAGGCCAGCAGCACTGACATATGGCCTAGAAATGAAAGATGACAACGTATATAAGATAATCACCACGTAGGAGCCAATAATTGCACTTAATAAGGTATTATAGAAGAAAAAGACGCACCGAGACTAGCAACTCTTGTCTGTGATACAACCTTATTAGCATTCTATGCTGCTCTTTCCTACCTAGCTTTACAACCAACTGTGATACTCGCATGTTAATACGCTTGGTTTCAACTATTTTCAGTCTTCGCTATTGCTTGCTGGTTCATCTTCAAAGCAATCATGACAACATACGCGGCATTAGTGCCCCACGATATTGTCAAACAGTCGGGTACCTTGACTAGATTTCCAACGGCGGTCCATCGTGATCACGCTCTATGCCTGGAAGCAGCACACAAGATTCGAGATGACTTTGTATCCAAGGTTGATGTGGACTTGAATGCTAAGACTATAGGTGAATATCCTGTACTAGGCTCGGTTCACGTGGTTGCATTTACAATACCAGAGTGCTTGCCTGAAAGACTGGCACTCATGACGAGGTTTACCGACTTTACTATAATGAATGACGGTAAGCCTGCAAACATGATTTCAAATATATTGAGTTAACAATTACCAGACTACTATGACGCTGTTGATGTCAAAAGAGTGACTGCATTCAATGCGGAGCTCCAGCGTTCGCTACAAGGTCCCAACAATTCGATTAGCGACGGAACAAACGTAGCGATCAAAACAAAGCAGTTTCAAGCCAGCATTTTAGTCGAGATGATGACTATGGACCGCGACTTAGCTATGGACGTCATGACCACTTATAGTAATGGCCTACAGATAGCAACATCTCCCCCTTCCGGTATCTCTTCTATAGAAGAGTATCTCCCCATTCGGCTGGTGAACTGCGGCCTCGAGTAAGATGATGACAGACCTTTGCTGTGTAACACATGCGGCTAATTTACAATAGTGTGTTTCAAGACATGTCGTGTTTTGGTATAGGGATTCGTCTCACGCAGGCGGAAAAAACAAAGTTGTCCGAGATCGCCAATACCGCGCTGTATACGGCGGCACTCATCAACGACTGCCATAGCTGGCCGAAAGAGCTGAAACATCACCTTGACACACAAGGCTCAGAAATCCCGTTCAATGCGGTCTGCATCTTAATGCGGCAGTATAAATGCTCAGACACCGAAGCTATAGAGAGACTTCGAGAAAAATACGTGGAACTTCAGGAGCAACACTTGTTCCTGGTCAGAAAGCTAGAGCAGAGTGAGGGAGTCATCTCTGACGCTCATCGCAAATACATCATGGCAGCTCAGTATGCGGCTTCAGGTTCAGAATTCTGGAGTATCTTTGCTCCTCGCTACCCAACCAAGGAGGAGTTGAAACAACCAGAGTGTCTGCTGGTGGATGACATCTTCCAATGGAAACATGCGTTGACCAATGGCCATCAGGAAGATCATTCTGCGCTACCTTTCAGCGGGGCCGTTGCAACAAATGGCGTCAAGTTGTCTCAAGTCAATGGAGCTGTAGCTTCAGGAATACCATCAGCTGAAGTGATCGATCACAATGTGAATGGAGTCGATGAATCGACACATGAAAATGGCTACATTGGCAACACAAACATGCCATGCAATGGTACTCAACATCTGTTGAAAACCCCTTCTGATGATGTGAGCATCAGCGCATTCTCCTTCATTGAATGAATTCTGACTCTGTAGATAGGCTGTTAGAGCTCCTTACAACTACATTAATACCCTTCCTTCGAAAAAGATCAGGGAGACCTTCATCGACGCCCTCGACTCTTGGCTAGAAGTCCCAGCCGCATCTTCATCATCCATTAAATCTATTGTTGGCATGCTCCATCATTCATCTCTCATGCTTGACGACATCGAGGACAACTCAATGCTGCGTAGGGGAAATCCTACCGCTCATACTTTGTTTGGCACAGCACAAACAATAAACTCGGCCAACTACATTTTTGTGTGTGCTTTTGAGGAACTCCAGCAGCTTCAGAGCCCAAACACTGTGGAGATCTTTATAGAGGAGTTGAAGAACCTACATTGTGGACAGGCTCTGGACTTGCATTGGAAATATCATTCTCACGTGCCCACTGTCGAAGAGTACATGACGATGGTTGATCATAAGACGGGGGGTCTCTTTCGATTGTGTGTTCGGCTGATGCAAGGTGAATCTAGCAGGAAGAGCGAACATATTGATGCAGACCGATTTGTCACATTACTTGGGCGTTATTTCCAAATTCGCGATGATTACCAAAACCTCATGTCAGACGAAGTGAGACTACATACTCGACTGTGTGGCGAAACACAGCTAACGTGCAACAGTACGCTAGTCAAAAGGGGTTTTGCGAGGACCTGGATGAGGGCAAGATTTCCTTACCGCTCATCCACTGTCTCACCGGCTCTGATCCCGAACAGACTATGATCAAGGGCATATTACAGCACAAAGGCGTTGGAGAGATGTCGATGGGATTGAAAAGGCTGATCTTGGGGAAAATGAGAAAAGGAGGAGCCCTCGACTTTACTTTCTCGCTGCTTCAGGACATGCAAGAGGATATACTCAAAGAGTTGAAGTTGCTCGAAGCTGAATTCGGGTCTGAGAACCCCATCCTCGAATTGGTGCTAAGAAGGCTATGGGTGTAAGGATTTATCCAGCTATAGAAGCTGTTTACTCCCTACTGCCCGCCAGTACTAACACTGTAGGAGATCGATGATAAGCACTTTGTTCAACTTTCTAGTAATACTGCTTTAGCATCCCCAAAGTCTGCCAGACCACTTGCTAGTCTTGGAATATGTACCTATTTAACAATTCTAAATCTGTCTCTAGCCTTGCGGGCACAAGTTATAAGAGGAGCTATGTACTGTAGGCGAAGAGTCCGTGGAGCCATATAATTTATATAGTATTGATGGATGTTAAGCCTAAGGATGATTAGGCAGGCTATTTGTGAGAGCACTGTGTACAGGAAGTATAAGGCACAGAAGAGGGTATAGGACAGTATTGATGGAATCCTTAGGGAGACTCAGGGGTTCGGGAAAAGATATATATATGTCTACTAGAGCACGTGACGGGATGTTATGTGTTTAAGGCTAGGCCGAGGGCACTAGGCTCTAAGTATAGAAGACGCGTGTAGTAGTAAACGCGTGCGTGCGTGCAACTATATAGTTGTAGGCGCGCCCTAAGACAGTCTATCGTGCTGCAAACGCCCCACTGATTATTTCCTTGCGCTATTTCCGCACAGTCGAGCCTGGACAAGACTTGTTCGTGCGATTTGCTTCTCACGTAGTCATGATACACGAGTCATCAGTTGTTGGCCCCATGCATAGATCACGTCGAAGTGTATACCAGAGAGCTGCCGACCAGCGATTTGAAGGCTTTGCACGTCGCTTACACTACCGTGCTTCTTCTCTGATCGACATCACGAAGGGAGCAACGCTTCGCAGCTTCTCACACGTTTCTGTAAGCTCCCGATCCGGGGTCGACAAGGCTATGATTCCTGCTCCTGCTTGCAGCCAGCTACGTTCAGAATCTTGAAAGACCGAGCGAAGGACCAATGATGCCTCGACTGATTTGGATCCCTCAAAAAGCAGAACAGCTCCCGAGTAGAGTTCGCGGGGGCGAGTCTCTAGGCGATGGATGGCCTCAATGGCCTTCATTTTAGGAATACCGGTAGCCGTAATTGCTGGGAATAATACGTGAAAAGCGTCCCATACGCCCTTAGACGGGCAGAGAGTTCCAGTGACTGTGGAAGCTAAGTGCTGCACCTTTCCACGTTGCTTCACAGACATGAGATCGGCCACGGCCACAGTGCCATCTGCACAAAACTGATTCATTTCCCGCATTGCTTCCTGGACTGAGATAATGTGCTCCATGACCTCCTTAGGGTCATTGAGGAGATCATTCTGTAGCCGCGATCGCTCCTTTTCGGTGCCTACATTTGCCCTAGTTCCGGCAAGTGGCTCAGTGGTGACTTTGCCATCCTGAAAAGACATGACAAGCTCAGGACTGAATCCAGTAGCGCTGAAGCCGTGATGGTCAACCAGAAATGCGCGTCTAGGCGTGTTGGCGCGTCGTCCGCATACCAGAGTTCCGACCATGTCGACCTTGTACAATAGATCTATAGCCCGAGAGGCAATGACTTTTTGATACAAGCCTCTGCCGATCTCGCTTAGTACTTGCTGCACGACATCCCGATACGGCTCTCCATTTGTTGACTCGTCTGGCCGGCCGTACTTATAGAATATGGGAACAGAATGGGAGAGTGCTGTTTTGATGACTTGCAAATCTTTTTCTGTCCAATTACGGAGCGAGACCGCGCCCTTCTGAACACGGACTTGCAACCGCGGGACAAAAAGACTGACCAATGGCCAGGAGCCCGGCTCAAACTTGACACCATTGATGTAAGCAGAGTAGTTGAAGCCGATCTGGCCGAATATCATTCCCCCGTCCTGGGCATAGCGACAAGTGAAGGCCGCAATAACCTTCTTAATATCTCCAGTTATTTTAGTAGAGGAGCGAGCGGCGTCCGTCTCGATTGTTGCCGTTTCGCCATGCGGATCGATAGTGAAAAATGCTTTGCTGTCCACACCGACGTGCCATATCGATTCGCGTTCGTAAGCGTACACAGCTTGTCCCGCATGTGCGACCAGGATCTTAGCCACGGCCTCGAGACATGCATCTGGTGATATGTTTAAAGGGATGGTGCAGCTATCATCGGGAGACACTGCCATAGTGCACATCGACGTTTGTTATGAAGGAAAGCCTGCGGTCTTCTCGCGGATCTGTATATATATAAAGGGAGCAAGGACAGTAAGCATTACTCGTAATACTTACCTCAGTTGTAAGTGTTCCGATCACGTGAATAAGACCGCAAGGCAAGAAGCCCACTCGGGTTGGGACATGCCGGCGAGTTAGTATCACGGGAACTGTTCCGAGCTAACAAGAACCGCAGAAATAAGAGTAGCGCAGTGTTACGGTCAGGCCAAGAAAGTCGGACTCGCGAGTGCTGCGATTACGTGACATTGAGCAAGCTGAGAAAACTGATCAACTGAGCGCATTGATCGGGATGATCAAGACAGATCTCATAATTGTATAGAGACAAGAAGATGGCATTGGTTTTTTCCGTGTACAACTCATTGTTCTACTTCAGTGATTGGAATTCACATCAGAGCTCTGTCTCACACTTCGTGATATACCAGACCTCATCGAACCAACGTTGGTTACCTGACCTCACGTAATATCTTCCATCGTAGGCCAATAACATAACACGAGGGGAAAGGACCATTGCGGGCGTTCCTTCCACTTTTGCGGATTATGTAGTATGATCTCTTGGTCCCTTATAATCTCTAGGGGAAGTAGAGAGGGGATACTAAGTACATAGTATTGTTAGAGGAACAAACTAGATTAACGTATTCTTAGTGTTCCCTACAGCGTGGCCAACAGTACGTAGTACGTTACGTTTGAGCTTTTTTCTGCCAGTAACTTCTCAATTTGGTAGTACTTTTGTACGTAAGCAGTGAATTGATTAGCAAGTACGTAACGTAACAGTAACTTCTCAAAATCCTTATACTTTTGTACTTTTCGCGAGAAGTTTCGTCGGTCCGGGTCAAAATTGTTCCGGGAGAAGCTTTTTAGCCTAGATGAAGTCCCCTCCTCCTCCTTATCGCCCTGTCTCTAGCTTGTTGGGACGACTCTGATAAGCAGGAGGATTAGGATGAGGCTGTACGCCTGCTGCGATAGAGGAATTAAGACATCTAGCTCATTGTAACAATTAATAAGATAGGCAATAGGTTGGCAAATAGGCAGGTATAAGATGAGGAGCTTTTCTAGGGCAAAAGTTAACTATTTTTATAATTGTTACTCTAAAACGCGACCTCAAACAAAGCTCCCAACGCGATGGCCAATGGGGTCTGAAAACAGGAGGGAAATCTCCCAAAATATGACCTCTCTGACCCGTACTACGGGACGTACTTGGCAATTCACTGTACAAAAGTTACGTCTCACATTTTAACTACTTTTGTACTCCTCACGTGATTACTACGTTCACGTAGTTACGTTACGTACTACGGACTGTTGGCCACGCTGGTTCCCTAAGCTACAGGAAGGTTTTATTAGGGAAGGAAGGAAAGGAAGGCAGAGACTGTATCTATGAAGTCAGACATATGGGAGAATCTACTGCGTAGGTGCAACCTGATAGTGAGTCAGGAAAGCAAGATTCGTGTGAGGCTTGCGAGTTCCAACCCTTGCAAAAGAGCAGAAATTCCACTGCCGTGAATCATCACCTTATTCATTTACATGCATGAACAGGCGCATGAACGGGAAAGAAACTTGTTGCAGGCGGTCTACACTGTTAGCTGTATTCATCTTATGGCTCTAGATTAAATTCCAATGACAACACAGTTTTCGCACTTAACGTCTTAGGAAGCCATATATCAGAAATTGCTTCTCCTTGAAATCATAGGAACCATTCTCGGCCTTTCTCATGGTTCGCACTCCCGCTTTGCTCAATATAGCATGAAAATGTAGGTTACTCAGGAAGTTATACCCTAAAGCTCTAGCTATCTATCATATCGCAATTTCTTCCTTGCGACGTTTGACACTTATTTTCACAGAAAAGTCAAAATTGCAGGTAAACCCATAATCGAATCCCATTGGCGTCTGGCCTTCTTCCAACTTCAACTCATATTTCAGCAAGATGACAGTTAACGCAATTTTGATTTCGTTCGCTGCAAAAAAGCGGCCAGGGCAGGCGTAAATGCCGTAGCCGAATGCGATCTGTTCAGGCGACGTCGTTACAAGTTGGGCCAGATCCTGTTTCTTAGGATCTTCGCGCATTCGAAGGAAACGATATCCATCCCATTTTTCCGGAGACGTAGGATGCACTTTGGAGTCCCACATCTTGCTTGAGTCAACTAGTATGCTTTGGCCCTTGGGAATCACGGTACCATCGGATAGAACTACACGCTCAGTGGCTATCCGGCCCATTGATGCTAAGCAATCGCTTGTTAGTGTACTCTAATATAGTAGCAAAGATGCTTGGTTCCTTACCCATGGACAACGGTTTCAAACGCTGACTCTCTTTGATACAGCTATCAAGAAGTTTCATTTTACCCAATGATGTCGTTTTTAACCCCTCATCCTCGTTTAGAACCGAAATTATCTCTTTTCGTAGTGGCTCGATGATCTGAGGATGCATCACGATATCCGCCAGCGTTTGGGACAGCAGATCTGTTGTTGTATGGACGGCCACTGTGGAAAGAGATAATTGGACAATTTGGGGATCAAAAGATGACGCATTTGCCGCATCTTCGAACCAAGAAATTGCGTCGTTGAATTTTGGTGCCTGTTCTCCTGTGGCTTTTGCCTTAAGTCTCATACGCTCTTGAATAACGGGTTGAATCGCTTCTCGGGCTTTTTGCATAGAAGCACGACTCTTTCGGCATTTACTAAGGAATAAGTTCGCAATCGGCCGTAGCCAAGGAGACCATAATCGAAGGTCTTGCGCAGCTACAAATGCCATTACTGCATACTCTCTGGTAACTTGCAGCCAATTTTCGTCGCGGCAGAGCTCAGTGCCGAGGAAAACTCGTGAGGAAAGGCGAGCGATCAGCTTAAGAATGGTGCCTTGGACAGGCAATTCGTGCCATTCTATATGTGTTAGCTATGTCAAGGAGTTTAGAACACATCACGTGTATACCTGTACCTTCACCAAGCAAATCTGCTAGGGCTAATGAAGTCTCCTCAGCAAGGGGCGCAGTGACCTTAGCTGGGCATCGTATTAGCGATACAATTGTTATAGTCTCCCATATGAAGTACCTACCCAATTGTCTGGTGAGATCCTTATTAATTACAGTCTTGACGAGCTGGTTGTTGTTATCGTCACGGAAGACTTCAAAGCCCGGTAGACGACCATGCATCATCTTTAATCATGTTAGAAACAGTAATTGCGTTGAAAAAATGAATTTGCATACCCGTTCAACCTGCTGGCGCAAGTGAAATCTTTTATCGTTTCGGATCTCATTTGCCATACTTCCCGGCAACACTATGACCGTTCCAGTATCGCTATAAACCGAAACAGGTTTGTTAGGGTTTTTTTCAAACCAGTCATGTAGCATCTGCCTAGCATTGCTTATGAATACCGTCTTCACACGTTCGTCGGAGAACTCGAAGAAACCTTTCCCATTCAATAGCGGCGGCACGTTTGACGAAACGCGCAAGTAGAATGTGACCAGAACCACCACCAAAAAGGCCGCCACGTAAGGAAGAGGCTTAGGCTGCAGGATTGAGACGGCGTTCCACTGCTCTTTAAGTCTCGATACTATGTGATTCATAGTAATCCCGTAGTTCGCAGTAGTGCGTGATGATCCAACAGCCGTAGGGATGGAATTCACACTCTCTTTGTGTGAAGGGGTAATCTGAGAGCTGAAGAGTTGTGAAATCTTGAGAGATGTAACCAATATGAGGTCGTGTATTCGGAATTGCTGCGATGTCTATGTGGAAATGCATTATAACACCTGCTTGGGCCTGGTTTGAAGAGGCGTGGCGCTTACATCGGGTCCCACGACTTATTAGATTCAGCCAAAGTCAATTTGGAGTTAGTGATGACGTCGCTCAATCTTACAATTTACTTTTGCGCTTACCGGTAAGGACCATATTATTAATTACCCTTTATCAAGTCATTACATTATCAGTTAATCGCTGACATATAAAGCTGTAAGCAATAAGACTTGGAGACAAATCTAAAGTCTTTTTCAAGCGAGGGGCGGAGGGGCGGAGGGGCGTAAACAACTGGATACTAATCAAATCCAATAACTAATTCAAGCCAGCGCTGCGTACTCACATACTGTGGATAGCGGATCAACTGCAGGCTAGCAGTTACTACATGCATGGATTGGTGACCACTCTCTTCACCATTGTACCTGCACTTGTCATATTCACAACGTCACACGAGAGTCTATTGCATCGCATTACCTTCACCATTTTGCTAATTTGGGTTTGTCTTGGACATTAAAGTCAACTTTTCGGGCAACAATCTTAAAAGAACCTGCCAAGAATCAAGGAGTTGTGCTGTCCATTTTTGGCCCCTGATCTCCTTCCACAGCGGCATCATATATCAAACGATGACACTTCACCAGGAAATCGCGTCCTGGTTAGCACCGAAGAAGCGTAAAATATGCCCAGTGCCAAAACTTGAATGCTCTGCACCGAGTCATCGCTTACTACAATTTCCTCAACTCAACCCTAAACCATGTATTCTTGTTTTCCTTCGGCACTGTGGATGTCCATGTACGTTGTCCTAACAAACACACTTAAAGTATACTAACTCGGCAATTTTAGTTGCTGAGAAAGCGTGTATCGATGTTTGCAACCTAGACGCTGTGCTTAAGGGGACCATCAAAGTTATATTAGTATCCCATTCATCCAAGGAGGCAACAAATCGATGGTTGCAAGCAGTTCAGCAAAGTGGCCGGTTGTCTGCCAATTTTGAGAATCAAGAGCTAGCAGCCTCCATTCTTATCGACGAGGAACTGGAACTATACGCCGCCTGGGGCCTTGGAGTTGCGAAAACGGAACATGTGTTGAATCTAGCCACAGTGTACGCAGCAGTATCACTGGGCTGGAGAGAGGGACTTTGGGATCGTTCGACTGAAAGTGGATCTCGGTGGCAGACCGCAGGGGCATACGGGATTGATAGATTTGGAATTATCAAATGGGTACATATTCCAAGACTAGCAAGTGATCTAGCAGACTTTGAGGATGCTAAGGCAGTATTACTAGAAAGTTGAACAAAGTGCTTATCATCGATCTCCTACAGTGTTAGTACTGGCGGGCAGTAGGGAGTAAACAGCTTCTATAGCCAGTGTGTCCAACCGTTAGTACACCTAATAGTACAGTACTGCAGTACACCGATTTTGGTCACGTACGTACGTACAGGGCATCTACTCAGTATACTGTACTATACATGAGGCTGCTGTACTAACCGTTTAC